GTGTTGTAGGAAAAAATGGATAGTACTAAATTATCTGACACATGCCTTGCCAGTGTTGACATGCTGTAGTAAGTCTGGAGCCATTAACGATGGCGTTGAAGTCTTTCATTCACAACTTGACTTTTCTTTGAACTCAAGGCTGCAATGAAGTAGAAATTCCAATTTGTGGAAAAGATGTCTAGCGCTAGGCCGTGAGCAAGTGTCTGCACACCCGCTGCAATTTGCGGTAATTTATTTTAATGAAAGGAGCCTTTAAATTACAGGTGAACTATAAGATAGGAGACACGCAGAGCGCCTTAAGTCGCTGCTTGCACGGTCACATCACGCAAGGATCCTCTTACAACTCACAACGGCAGCGCCATGCCAACCACAGCTGCCTCTCAATCCAGACAGACCCAGAAACCACACCCCATTGCCACATAGGTCCAACATCCAACCGTTTCATCTTGGAAATGTACAGAGAGGGAGGGGAACACAATGTAAACAAAGGAGGGAATAATTGCAACCAACCATTTGACACAGTTCAATTACAGGGGATGGAGCCTTGAGGGCAGTAAAGGTGACATTTTGGAAGATGTGCACTTTGTAGTTGTCCACGCCAAATTCCCCTTGTTGTTTTCGTTGCAAAGTAATAATCTAGCCTGAAATAAAACACACTTTTTTCATTTTTTTCTTTATTTAAATGGAGGATTCATTGGACGAGAAAATTGCAGACAAGGAGAAGATGGATTTTTTTCCATGTAGCAGTTGAGAAGTTCATCCAGAACTGACTGTCTTTCTTTTCTCTTCCCCTCTTTCTCCTCAATAACAGACAGGGAGAGCATCTGGTAGCAGTTATCTCACAAACCAAACTTTTTTTCACCCTTGCTGTCTCTCCCCCCAAAGCATTTTTTTTTTTTTATAAAAGGGGGCCCTAAACAAAACACAAACAAGGTCTTGCTAACATTTTACAATGGTAACAAAACTAGGCCAGGGTTAGCTACCCTCCCACTGGCTTGTTCAGGTGAACCCGTTTTATGAGCATTCTTCAGCTGGGGGAGCGAAAGTTAAAGGGGGAGTTGAAGTTAAAGAGGAAGGGCAAGGAAGGGAGTGGGGGGGGGGACAAAGCTCTTGGCACCCCCTTCCCTAATAAACTCTTGCCTTCGTCCAATCAACAGGGACTACAGAGAGTGAACTGTTCCAAATCCTTGCTGGTTATAAACTAGAATTGGGTGCAATGATTGCTTCAGGCTGCCCGTTTGGCTTTCAGAAGTGTGCATGGCTCACATATGGCTGAGCTAGCCTAACACTTGGGTATTACCTCAGGGTTGAAGAAGAGGGGACCGAGGGGATGAATGAGATGTAACTTCCAATAGACTCGAGAGTGCAAACTACGCCGCTTGACTTTGGACTCAGTGGGCCGGCTGTCTGGCTTCCTCTGACTAGTCAACAACAATCTGGCTCCGGCAGCTCTCATATTCTCACTCTCACTCTCACTTGTTTGGGCGAAGTAGCTGTAAATATTTTAGCAGTGGAAACACGACTATCTTGTTGAGCAGAGTTTTCTATATTTAGCCCTACAGAGGTAGGCAGAACCTACCTGTTGAGCACTAACTCACTGGTGTGGGGGTTGTGTTTGTCCATGTTAACAAACACAAAACTGGACCGCTATCGCTATCACGAGTGACCTTGAGATGTGGTGTTTAAACAGGATGTTTTACACAGCTTGAGATGACCACGTGAAACTTTTTAAAACCGTGATTGTAAAACAGTCTGGCATGTAAAGTAAAGTCTAAATGGCATCCTGTAAAAATGTACTCCAACTTAACTTGGAAAGTGTTAAATCCTGATGACATTAATATAAATATGTTTTTTCTATACCTGAATGACAATTGCTAGCTACCAGTTATCCTCCAGAGGTATTAGCTCTGATATTTTCCTTGACTAATCCTACTCTACCTGTACTGCTGCCTAACAAAAAGGCACTACGCCCGAGGAGTCATATTTCAATTAGGGTAAACAATCAGGCTTTGCTTTCAGCTCTGTGTGACATCAAGAGTCCTCTCAGAGCCACTGCTCACCCATGCATTCATCTTGAATTGAACACATACCACATGACCGATTGGCAGTTACTCGTAACGAAACGTATTATCTCCATCTCTCGGTCTCTCTTTAGACACACACACTGACGAAACACTTGAAGAATGCTGTGTATTCAGACATCACCGACGCAAAAATGCAGCTTGACAAAGACAGAGTAGAGACAGTTATCAGAAAGCTTGTCACTTGTTTTTCCTCTTTGTCGTGATACCAGCTATTAAACTCAATGCAACACATTTACCGAAGACTGTTACATATCAAGGAAATGTAATAAATGTTTTTAAGTATTTGAAAACATTGACTTTTGAACCCAATTAAGCGTACTGGTTTCCTTTATGAATGTACAGTGCTTCCATATAGTATATCTACACATATGTATAGTGTTTAAAATACAGTTGTTCTGGAAATAAAAAGGAGTGAAACAATCAATACACAGACAGAATTGAAAAATATAAACATTACCCAGAAGCCGAAGACGTCACTGAATGAATACGAACGGCACAACGGGAATATTTTTACATCCATGCATTATCTGACACACATGATTCCCATATCATTTATTTCGTTAGTCTGTTGGTAAATGCGTCACAACAACATATTTCTACAATTGTATAGTACTTTGGACCAGATGCTTAAATGTTTGACATGAAGAGTAACCTCAATGAGTTATAACTGAATATGCCACTAAACGTGTGCTCATTCAATTATCAATCAGGCAATCTGATGTAAGAATCTGCCACCAGAGAGAGACTTCTCCCAGTCCCATGAGAAAAAGTGATAAGTTAATGAATTATTGAGAGCACAGGGGCCGGCAGACAAAGAGCGAAAGCCATGCATCCCAGTCACTTCTTCACCCCATCTGCAGTCAAAGAATCCCCCCAAAGATTGATTCATTGTTAACGCAGCCTGACACCCTGTGTGAGGGAGAAAGAAAGTGGGAGATAAAGGGACAGAGAATGGGGGACAGGGGGCTCCATTTGCCAAGAATATGAGCAGAAGCAGCTCATTGGACAGGTTCCCACAGTGGTCATTCTACCACTTACAAAAATACCTTGAGTAATGGCATTCCATCAGACTCAAAATAAAGACAAGTTAGCTCATCTGACGACTGCACCATTCTCCCTTGTTTATTCCCAGCTGCCTGCCATTTAAATGCTCCCTTTAGTGAGATATTGCAGATTACGTATTGATTGGCATGCATGAAATCATACAAACAGGAACATTCATCAGTAAGCGACATCCTAGCAGCTAAACCGTGTGGTAATCTAACAAAAACAGCAAGAGGTTTTGAGTATCTCTCACGTGGAAAACTGCGCTGTAAATACCTGCAAGTATTGGCAGGGATGGCCCCAGGCGAAGAAAGCGACAGCACACCTATACCTCAACCGTTTCAGTGGAATGACTAACCTACCTCCTCATTGTCTGCGTACACATGAGCACGCTCTTCAAGAATGTCCTCTTACCACCCAAATACTCAGCATGCAGCTTGTCGAGCACAGGGAAAGCAAACCTGGACTCTACCTGAACCCTGAGAGGGATCATCCTCCCTGCACTGAAACACATCCATCTCCTTCAGCCAGTCTGCCTGTCTCTCCCTCACACACATCATGCACCTAAATATGATTTATCAGCGGTGAAAAGCTACATTTATCATCCTGTGATGGGCCATTATACCAACCATTACAATCACGGATGCATAATCTCACTACAGCTATGCAAATAAATAACAGATGCTGAGGATTCTCTAAACCAGAGTGAGCCAACCAGTTCAAGTTTGGTGTCAGCAGTGGAGGACCGTGGAAATACAAGGTGGTTATGCAGCTGGTTATCATCAGAAATGTATCAAAGATTAAGAAACACGTATTTTATGAAAAGCGACACATTTTGTGCCTCTCGTGTGGCTATTTGTCTACCTGGTGTTGCATGTGTGTGTCAAATGTTTAGAGGTAAACTATTCCACAACAAAAGGCAGATCAGAAACGAGTTTGTTGCCAGGTACGTTGTCACATGCAAGGGTTTTGCTTGGGTGTATGGTCAGAAATATAACGATTATAAAAAGAAAATATTTTTTTTTAAAAACGATTTAACATTCAAAAAATAATAATAAAGCGAAGGATTTACACCAAATGTAAATATACAAAATAAACTTTAAAAAAGGAGTACAATGTGAATATATGACAAACTGCAGTATTTTTTTATATTTAAGTGTAGGGCTGTGCAAATATGTGTGCAGAATTGTGCAAAAATATATCAAAGAAGAATATACATGGAGTTACAACCAGTTAACTCTGCGTTAAACTAACGGTGCATGCTGAACAACCGTAACAAATGACCAATAAACAATTATATTTTGCAGCCAAGAAAACGACTGCGGTGTAACTAACGTTGAGCTGTGAACACACACAATTCCGGCAGCCCCGTGTGTACCAAAACTGCTGGTGAAAAAAGGAAAAAACTGTTTCCAAAGGTAGTCTATAGTGTTTTGGACGCTGAACACAGCCCAGTGTCTCTACAAAGTTAACATATAGGTTTTTAAACACAAACGAGTTTACTCATATCAGTGTGGAGCACTAACAGCTAACGTTAGGCTACAGTGAATCAGAGAGCCTGTATCTCGTAAACTTTGTAGCTAAAGGAAAAATAACCGGTAGAAAAAGCAAATAAACATGCCAGGCTTAATGTAAAACGGTATTCTATTGAAAGTTTAAGAGCCATTGATATCATAATAGATCTTCCATAACACACAGACAGCGGTAAGGTGGCTCGTTGTATCACGGTAGCTTATAAAACCACAGCCTGCTCGGAAGCGGAGCAACACCGACTATCTCTCTGGGACCAATGTGCACATTTCAAACACACACTACACTCCCTGTCCAAAACTTATGTATAAATGAAACATAAACTAACTGCAGAAAACTCACCGGCTTCGACGCTTTCATTGAGTAGAGCAGTTTCTTTTTACGCCTCTACAAACTCTCCGCCATCTTCGGCAGGACCGTGTTTGTTTAAATGCGAAACACTCCCCGAGTGGAGGGAGCCAGCTTGTAAGCAGAGCGAAAGGGATTCTGGGTAATGTAGGAGATTTCCCTTTGAAAGACGCTTCGAACGGTTGGACATGTTCTTTATGCGAACTACACGTAGAGCAATACCCATAGGCGATATGAGCAGCAGTCACTGATATTATTAGGGGAGAGATTAAAAAACTTATTTATAGGCCGGCAGGAAAGCAGCTTTATGCAAATTACTTGTCATACCCCTAGAGTATTACATTATAATGTTTTTCATTTTTACATACAATTATAACGATATTTTTTGCTTAATGTAAATAAATGAATCATTGTTTTTAAATATGAAAAAGAACCCAAGTGGGCATTTGGCCTTTATTTAGAGGAAACAAATTGTATGATGGTAGACTTCCAATGAAGCTGAACAGTGCAAAAGGCAATTTGACAGGGTGAGCGATGTGTAAAACAGAAATAAATATAATGCCGACATTTTAAATTGCAAATGTGATTTATAGTCTCCATAATGTTAAACAGGGCACTCTATCTGCTGCAACACAATTGGGTTTTTAGTACCTTGCAATTATGTCTGTAAATGCCACTCATTTAGATGCCATCATGTGCAGCCTGATGCCCCACAGATTTTGAATCCAGTGTCAGATGTATTAATTGAAGTGAGCGTGGAGCCACCGTCGGCCCCTGAGTATCCACAGAGGATGGTAGAAACTGTCTCCATGGTGATCTCTCAGGCACACTAGTTTTAAATGTTTACTACTGAGGAGGGAGTACGGTCCAACCATGGAGGGAGAGCAGGGTGAGGGGGGTGAAGAGAAGAGGCAGAGTTGGTAATTAGCTCCCTACTTGTTCTTTCCTGTCTGAAAATAATTTTGCAATCAGCCTATACAAACTTTGAGGTGAAAACATTCAAGGGTTTGCATGCAGTACATAGTTGTCCATACAAATTATTTGGTTAAAGCAAAACAACTGAGGAGGTTCATTACCAAAGTCATAGCATTATCTGTTGTGCAACCAATTCACAACAGTTACTCAGACAAAGCTTGTGTTGACATACCAAGAGTATTTCCTGAATTGTTACACAACTATAAGAATGGATAATAGGTTATTCATGCATTAGTCACAAAAAATATATATTTAAAAAACATGATTAAATGTGGATTACTCAGATCAACGCAGATGGTTTGTTTATGTTAGAGCCTGGTGAAGTGATGAAGTCACCAACAGTTTTTAAAAGAACACAAATAGTTTTTCCTGCATTTTTGTAATGTGTGTTTTTGGTCTGTTTGTATGTCTTTCTGAGTGAGAGAGCCTCAATTACATTCCATGGAGACCCAAAGAGGGGCCCGGTGGCCCTCTGTGTTTGTGCCCCTTCCCCCACAAAACATGGCAAACTGACCTCCCCCCTCAAAGAGTGTGAGACACTTTATCCCATCCCCCCTCCCTACTCAGCTTCTCTACTTTGAAAGGACAGGAGATAACCGTTTGAAAGGACAGGAGATAGCCCCATAATCATTAATGTATTCAGATTAGTTTACCTGCAAACAGCTAACAGCATGCCTTTCTTTACTCTAAACCCATTCCCATCCCCCAATTTCTCTGCAGATACAATACAGCACACACAAACATCTTGCACAGCCATTAATGCACAGCCATTATTAGATATAACACCATTAAAGCAAGATGACAATAAAGTGTTTTACATTTAAAACCCAGAATTACCATGACATGGTGCATCTAAAATGTTTAAAGATCAGTAATACACTTCGTTTATTAGTTGCTCGGGGCGTTCTAATGGTTGTTTACAGTTAGCAGGGTTATCTGTGTTATACAAATCATTGATATAGTTCCTCTGGCTTCCCTGCATTATTTAAAAAAAAGAAAATCAGTAGAAAACAGCTAAAAACACAGTTATACCTGAAGAATATATTTTTGTCAAATGCTTTTATTGATAAAGGATAGTAACATACTTTTCCATTTCATATAATCAATAATTCAATAATGCAAATGAACAAAAACAGTCCTCTTTCGAATAAAACGATAAATACAATCTGTTTCATACCCCAGAAAAATACAAGGCACTAATGCAAGACCTTTCAATCATTTGTATTTGTAGGCTATATAGTTTCAAGATGTGGGTGTAGAAACAGTTTGCTTTAAATAGCGTTTTGCATGTTAAACTATTGCTTTTTTAATAGCAGCTCTGATAAATGTCAATGAAAAATAAATAATTAATTATAGGCAAAGAAAGTGACCAGATCTCAAGGTATCTGCGTTGAGATAAAGATGAAAGAAGAATGCTTAAAACCACATTTACATAAAGCCATATGATATTTAAGGTCTTGAATCAAAGGAACACTTGAAGATTTTCCAGGAATTACCTGAGCAGGCAAAGTCTGGCTGGGGCGCCATCTTGGGGACAGCAGGCCTCATTACCAGCCGGCCACTTCAAAACAACACCGGTCTGCAGGATGGACACCAAATAAACTAAAAGTGGAGCCTTACTAAGGTGACATAATATATATATATAACCTGATGATGTTATATTATGTGCGCTGTCACCACAGTTATAAGTTTAAACATCTGGTTAAAGTACAGGCTTAGTGTAATTTGTCATGACGTCCTTTGCTAATAGTCCCTGTTAAGTGTTACCTGAAGCTAACTCACTAGCTAATTAACTACAAGCCAGGTGTGAAGATGTTGACGTTTATTGGCAAGAAATGTGAAAATTGACTTATGTGAAAACATTCCCCACGTTTATTTCTTGTTTATTTTGTTTTCGGTACACGTTTTTAAGGCGTACCTGCAATTTAGTGACCTAGCCGTGGAGAAGCTAGCTAAACCAAATAGGCTAAGTGGTAGCCTAGTGACAGTGGATGAAAGTAACTAAGTATATTTTCTCAAGTACTGTTCTTAAGTACTATTTGACCTATTTATGATTTACTTGAGTCTATCCATTCAATGCCACCATACTTCTACTCCACTGCAATGTAGAGGCCAATATTCTACTTTTCTCTCCACTACATTTATTTAACACTCAGTTATTTATTTCATATAGCGACACATAATAAGCTGATATTGTATATTAATCTACATAGTATTTTAAGCATTGACCAATTTACATTCTAAAATGCTCTTACATGTACAATAACCATAATAACATAATGTAGTGATATTAGCCATTCTGCATATCAGGTGCTTTCACTTTTGATACTGAAGTACATTTAGCTGATAGTCCTTCTGAAAGTTATATTTTTCTGAAATGGGCCAATCTGCATAAAGAGTACTTTTACTTTTGGTACTTTAAGTATATTTCGAGGCCAATATGCTTGTACTTTTACTTGAGTAACATTGACAACTCTGAGTACTTCTTCCACCTCTGTCTAACAGTCAGTTCAAACTGTTATCCCATTGAGGGAATACATGGATGCATGCTTCAACCATTATACTCCATCCTACATTGTACACTCATATGCATCCCCTGCTCATAATGTCAACACATCTGAAAGCCTTTTTTCACAGTGGACTCCTAGGTGAACTTATTTATCTGGTGATTCTTTTTACAGCCTAATTTCTTGCTATTGACCTTTGAGAATCCCTGGGCTGGTGTGCACTGAGCTGTTATGAGTTTCCCCACAAGAGGTCGCTGCTGTCTTTCGCCCTTTAGCAGGAGAGGCCACAGTCAAATGAGCAGTGCAGACTTTTTCACAGCAGTCACATTTTATAAATTACAAAAAGCAGAGTGCAATTAGTATGATCGCCAAGTGTAACATCTCACAATGTTTTAGCTACAGAGACACAATCATTTTTGTTTTTCCCTTCAAACAAATCAACCCACCATAGTGTGACTCATAAGGATTCCTGTTTTGAATTATGTCAAGAATTTACAAGTGATGCATAACATATTCTGCTGTTCGATGTTGGATAGATGGCTTACTGGTACTTCCATTAAATATTCACAATTTGTGCATTGAACCAGGGCCAGTCTTCGGGAGACACGCATTTCTTAAATAATTCTATAGATTTTAAGAGATATGAAAAGGATCATCGGCTAATCTGTATGCAGGTAGTATCTTTTAAATGTCTTACCTAAATGTAGACCTAATGTTACTATTGTCATGTTATTTGCTACTTTTTTCCAAAAGTGTATGTGCAATCAAACATAATTTGATATTGCATGAATTTTATTTTATGGTTATAATGTTGGAATAATCCATTTATCTTGCTTTGCTCATCTTCAGACAATCGGCATACATATCTCTCACTTTTTTAGCAACACACTAAGTCCTCCCTGCTTCTAGATGTGAGTGTGTGCTGAGAGTTCTCTGGTACGTGTATGGGAGCTGCACACACTTTGCATATGTGTGTAAATAAATTATAACACTATAAAATACTTAAGATAAAAACGTTTTTGTCAAAATGATAATGGATATTTTTAAAAGCTATTTAAAGTTTTAATTAAAAAACATATCGACATCCATTTTCAACAACAGGAAAAGATTATAAAAGCTTTGCTAACATTTGCAATTAATAAACATCCTCCTTGACTTATGAGAAATTAATTTAATCAAAAGCAAAACACTCAGCTGTAATTAAAAAAGACATGTTTCTAAAGATATACGATCAGGCAAACAAAAACAAGACAAGAAGTCCCTAATATAGTGCAAGAGGACTGTGCCAACAATGTTTTCTGAATTACCACACATTTCTTTGAAGATCTTGCTGAATCATGTTGAAATGATATATACAAAACTGAAAGTCACTGTTGCTTTAACAGCGTAATCTTGTCTATGCGGAACCACATTGTTACCATGAGATCACATCAGTTCAAAAGCAAGCGTCAGGCAAATCACATGACTGTAATTCAGTCTGCATTTCCGACCTTGCTGTTAAACCTTTATAGGCCAAAGAGACACAGTACACTCCATTTAGCATCTGTTTACTCATTGCCTTTATTTGTTAAGCAGTGTATTAATATTTCCCATAAAGGTCGATTGAACTTGAGGTTGAGAACTATTGAGACTCCTTAGGAATACAGCCACAGGCCTTTCTTTGTGTGCACATCTGCTGACTTCCCTTACACCAGAGGCCTTCTTTATAACTGAAACAACAACAGCTGTATACAGTCCTAATAGTAACTGATATATGTACAGAGGCTGACTTTTTTATTTGGGCCTAGCCCTACTGCGTATGAGCTTGCCTGTGCTGAACAAAAGACAAGCAGCCAGGAAATGCACTAGCCAATCAGCAGCTGCCTTTCATTCTGTCGGCATGTGCGGCCAGTCTCTGCGCGCCTTCTATCAGAGCAGTGTGTCGGACAGCTTGGGGAGCCGTGGCTGTGCTCTGAGCAGGGTGAGGGCTGACAGGGCTGTCCTCCATGTTTAAATAAGCATTGCATATCACACAGAGTTTTGTAGCCATGCATCCACAGAGGTAAGCCTTATTTTTATTATTTCACACATCTCTTGATAAGGCACCAGCTACTGTGTGTGTGCCTGGGTAATAATACAGGTTTCTCTGACAGACTGGGGGAGGGGGAAGATAATTTGTCACCCCACAGCATAGGAGTGGAGCTTTAAAGGAGAGCATAGCATGGTACAGTGTTTGCGAACAGGACGGTAGGGGGTCACAGGTCAAGTGTAAGGTCATTGTACATTCATAGAACACTGACTTTAATCTGCTTTTTCTTTTGTCAAGATCATAAAAGAGGTTTTGTGGCTGGCCCTGGCCTATATGCGGTCAACATGGCAGGCCTGGTGAGGGATCCAGGATGGCAGAGACAGGGAGCAGTGCAGAGGGGAGTCCCCAGAGGAATTAACAGATGGTAAACTGACAGCACAGCAAGTTTAATTTAGGCCTCAGACTGGAGCGAGAGCAAGGCAGCAATTGTTTACCAGACTAACATGGGAATAAAAAACAGATTGTAAATGATTCTACGCCACACACCAAGTTCACCTCACCACAATTACATAATTTACCTGGCGAATCATGCTTTGAACAGGCCTAAACCTGTGAGCCGCTCACCGGTTTGCCAAAAATATCTAGGAGTAAATATGCCGTAGCAGATTATTTCTCACAGGGTTGGAGGAATTGCCTGTGCACTGCCTCCCAGTGTTGTTCTCTGCTACCGAGTGTCAGCCATTTTAGAGAGCTTCCCCTTTCTGTCCCTCTGCTCCAAGCACACTGGGTATTTGTATGTGAGAAAGAAGGAAAGAAGAAGGGAAGGACTTCCTCTGAAAAGGCTCTGCATAGAAACCTCATCTCATCCAGAGAGGCTTGAAAACCTGTTTGAAGTCGACCAGGTTAGATTCTGTTTATCCATGTATTCATGTCAGTTTCCTGTGTGCATGAATCAGATTTTTTTTAAATGTAGTTATTAATTGTGTCTTTCTGCCAGTGTATCAAGATTGTCGTTTATTCCTGAAATGGATATATTCCAGGTGGAATAGACAGAGCCTATCTGTTTGTTATTCTTAGTGGATGACAAAGGCTGTTTTATATATAACCAAAGGAAACTATAGCCTGTATATAATGACGCACATAATGTTGCTTGACCAGAGTTCAGGAGCATTGACTGAAACAGCAAATCCCCCCCTCAGTGTTTTGTGAATGGTGCTGGGTAATTTGTCTAATCCCTTCATTCAACTATGGTGTGAGGATTGGGGTAAACCGACACAGACAGCCTGTTTAGTTTGGTGTGTGTATTTAATATCCACCCTTTGACCTTCTTGGAACTGCGTAGTTAATATAGTTGGCCTTGACATTTTGGCCTGGATGTGATGAGGGATACTTCTATTGCACTGAATATAAACCAATGTGCTTTAATTCTGTGCATTTTTTAAAATTCTTGCTCAATGGTGATTAAAAGAAATGCAGTAATCTGATCAAACATAAAAAAGATCTCACAGATGATGGGAAAATACATGGCGTTCCTCTCATTTTCTAATTCATGTTAATGTCGTCTTGTTGGTGCTCACACTCAAGTCTCCAGGCAGGTATTGATTATGAGACAGAATATGTTGAAGAAGCATTGCAGAGAGAGAGAAAGAGAGGGGGAGAAGGAGGGAGGGGTTTAGTCCCTCCATGCTGTCTGGGAGGCCTGTGACATTTCCAGTCCTGTCTTTGTGTCCAGCATCAGGCCCATGCTGCATATCAACATGCTGGGCCACATAATAAGCCGCATGAGGTCTTTTACAGCAGATTTGACTTGTGTCGTGTGTACGTGCTGTTTATGTGCGGTGCGCACAGTGGTCAGAGAGAGAGAGGAGAAGGGAGAGAGAGAGAGAGAGAGAGAGAGAGAGAGAAAGTGTTCAAAATGGATGCCATACAGATACACTGGCTGAGAGCACAGTGAGGGAGGGAATCTGATCCTCTCCCTGTCAAGCCCGTAGAGCGGCATCTTACATGAGTGACTGCTAAATGTCCGTATGTGCTTTAAAGGCAGCGGGAGCCTGGGTTTTGAGGAGGCTTTTTAGCAGGAGCAGTCCTCTCTGCATTGCAGCACTGAGGCTGAGGAGAGCGGGGAGAAGGGAGCCCGTGTGGCACACCGAGCCGAGCACCCAATCAGGCGCCTCCGTGTGGCGCTCAAGCCAATCGGCAGCCTGCAGCCGAGGTTAAAGATTGACAATTGCAGGAGAGAGCAGCAGGGAGAGAAGGCCTTCTGGGAAACCTGGACCCATCTTTTCCCTCATCCCCCCAACGCCCTGAATAATTGAAAAAGATTAAAGAATAAGCTGAAGAATCTGTGTGTGAGTAAGGAAAAAAAGGTATGCTGTTCATTTCCTTCATTGAAGCATGGGTGTTGTGGTAATAGTGGGTGTGGAGAGGGTTGTGTCAGGAGGTAACAATGTGTCCTCTGTGGGTCTTTGATTTTGAAATGTTTTTCTCAGGATGGACACTATTGATATCTGCCTATGTGACCGTCCATGTCTTTCTCTTTGTCTTTTCTTGCTGTATTTCCTGCCCTGGACAGGACAGGATGTTGAGAGGGTTTGTTGTCAGAGGATATCCAGACACGTTAGATGAGAAGGCCAGTAAAACCATTGCAGTGCACTCCTGTCTGTCTCTGCAGATGTGCTGTGTTCCTGTCTCATGCTTCATCCTCCTGTAGTGATTGAGGAGCAGGAGGGGGTAGCCAAGATTATTCGAATGGCAGCAGTATTTCTGTTTTCAGTCTATGTTTTTCACACAATACATCCAAATGGTGCCTTACCTCTGTAGAAAGAAAAACAGGGATTGGCAATATGAGACAGTGAGGAAGGTGCTACTGCTGTGGCGTCAGAGAAAATGGCAACAGTAATAGGCTCGACAAGAGTGTGCCTGCAAACCAAGGTGAATCATGTTGGACTGATACCGAATGAACCGAAAGAAGGTGTTTCACAGCACTAAGTGTATCTTGAATTTCCAGGAAATGTTTCTCCTCAGAACTGGGGATTTGATTTGATTGTGCAATCCATAATGGTATGCTCTCCTTTATTAGGTCACTTGCTCAATGAATATTACATGAGTGTTTTGAAACAACAGGGAAGTCTTTTTTTCCCTCGCTGGATGTCAGACGCAGATTCTACTGTGTTGTGTGTCATGTTTACTATTTATAGATCTGTGGTTGGTGGAGAAAAGTGCCTGCAGTTTAAGATTGGACAACGGCCTTGCACATTGAGCTGTCTTTGCTCTAGTATTGGTTACCTTTTTACTTTAATTGTGTTTTAGATATCATCAACATTTGAGAGATGTCTAAACAAAATTCTGTTCTATCGTGTTCTTATAGTACCAGTATAGTGTCTGGCTCTTATGTTTCTGGCTTTTTGCATGCGTATATCTATTTAGCTTAAAAGCTTAAAATGTCTTTATTGATATTATGTAACATTCAGCAAAGTAGAAGACGTTGGAAGCAATGTTTTTTATTAAACTGCACACAGCGCTCGTGAAACAAGAATCTGAGTCACTTCTGTCACAAAAAAATGATTGTGAAAAACGAAACACAGTCACAATGGCTTCATTTATCAGTCTACGCCTTTTTGACCTATGGTGTGGTTTCAGGAAACTTTGTCAGAAGTAGTTTGAAGATGCGATTTAATGTTTTTGAGCGCTTTAAGATAACTCTGTTCCCATCCAAACACCCTCAATCTAAACAGAATGATATCACTGTCAAGGAGCACAAGCCTTTCTTGTCTAGAAAAACCCCATTGTACGAAGCTAAGGGAAATATTTGAGGAACTATGTAAGACTGTCTAATAAAAAAACTCATATAGCATTTACATTTACACTAATGTAGCACTCAACTGGAGGTCAATATCTTGGCGATTTCTGCACTTTGTCAGACAATCAGTTGTGTTTTGATGCTCCAATTTAACTCTAAAAATGGGGAACCCGGAAAATTAAATATTTATCAAATAGTTGGATATTTCAATTGGCCTTCAATTAGAGTAGTTGGGGAGGCTTATAAACTGTGATGCTGCAAGCATTTAAGATGCATTTTTTGGGGGTCTACTTTTGGCTTTCATAGGATAAAGTGTAGCAGACAACTGACAGTAAGAAATGGCCTAACCTCTTTAACCCCAACTTGAGTGTACCACTTAACTCTTAGCAAGTTGTCCTAAGGAACAATTTCAAACACATTTTAACTTAATGATATATAGCACAAGTTATAGATAAGATACATCTTCAGCTGTTGGTGAGGTGTGACTGATAAATGTTTGATGTTTTCTGCATCAGTGTGGCAGAGGAAGAGGAGAAAACTGAAATTAAATCAGAAGAAATGGAGATTTCCACGAGATCCAAAGGTAAGAACATATACAAGTTGGTTTTTGATAGGTTGGCAAAGCTCTGTTTCTATACTGGCGATGCATTATTGTCTATAGTGGTTCAGATGTGGCTGTTTTGGTTTGACTTGTTTATACTATTCAACTCACTTTGCTAACTGGCTCCAACCTGACTGTGAGAGTGCAGGAAACAAATGTGGTGTCATTTCTGGTATTTGTTTCCTGCTCTAAGTAGGCCATCAGAGAGCCCTCCTTGGTTTGTGTAATCTTTGACCTCTGTCTGCAGTTTCAGACTCTGGATCAGTAGAACGGGTGACCCACAAACGAAAGATATCGAGTCCCTCTCACTCATCCAACGGTCACTCCTCTGCTGAAACCTCCCCCTGCCCCACCAAAAAGAAGAAGAAACCCGGTGCTGTGAGCAGCGGCAAAGACCAGGTAACGATCACCTGACACAGGATTTAAACCTGCTTCACTCTCAGCTCAATGGGATAAGTGTCTTTTGGTAATCACACTTACAATAGACAACAACTCTTCAGATTGATTAAGAAAGCTCCTTAATCAAAACACCTGAAACACACAGAGTTAATGCACTTGTCTTAAAGGGTTCAGTTCACTCGAATCACAAAACATTTTGATTCTTGCCCCTAATGTGAAACGTTTAAATGTACCCGCTAAAAGTTGTCTGAAACTAAGAGTACTGTTCTCTCCCTAAACATGGGACTGTGTGATGCTGCCTGAAACATCCCAAACTATTCATATCCAATAAGATATTTACATTGATTGTTTGGTGAGCAAGTCAGTGTTCTTTTCAGTGATTAAAGTTGATCAATATTAAGCTATAGTAAACATATGTTTTGTTATTGAGGAGTATGTTTTACTTGATGAACATTAATCCAAATGGATATTAGTTTTTGCATTTTTCAAACATTGTTTTCAGTTTTAAAGGGCCCATGTCATGCTTTTCCGGTTATTACCCGTCCCCTTGTGTGTTATGAAGGTTTTAATGCATGTAAACGGTCTGCAGAGTCAAAAACCCTCAAAGTACACCCTGTAGCGAGTAAAACACAGAAAAGACCTGTCTAGCTGCCCCAGAACGCCTCGTTGGAGATTTCTCATTTTCCATTGTTTGCTTCCTGGGTTCTGTGATGCTCCTCGCAGCAACGAGCCTCGCAACGTCCCGACCAATCAGAGCACACTGGGCTCACAGGGAGGGGGGGGCCGGAGCTCCAACAAGCCGTTTAGGACAGAGAGTGAATACACATACTATACAGAGATGCTGTATGAGAAACCAATGTGATTTTGGAAAATTGCACAATTTAAATCTATTCTAGTAGACCTCAACAATGGAATTATGATCAGTAGAAATGGCCATGACATGGGACCTTTAATGTATTTTGTTGTTGTTGTCAAAACAAAAATCTGTTGAAATCTTACACAAATATGAGCCTAAACAGCCAGTTTGAGAAAACATTCGCAGCACTGTATTTTTTTCTTTTGTACTGACTGAACTCGACATTAGTGCGTAGTCAGCAGCTAGTTTCATTTTCTTTGATTTTTATCGCATTTTTCTTAAACCTGAAGTGTTTTCTCGTCTGTAGATGCCAGATAACAACATCCTTTATGGTGAACAACAGGATACAAAATCTGTTAAATATATATGTAAAACAATTTGCGTTTATATTGTTTTTGATGTAACTGCCATATTTACCAATTCAATTAAAATAAATAAAGGCTGCCACATTCATACCCTCAAACTCAGTAGATCATAAATGCAGGCTCACTGATACGATCAGCAGCATGGGTGTAGGTGCAGTTACTGCTTCTGTTTGATCAGTCATTCATACTGGGTCAATATTTAAAGGCCTGTTTAGTTTACGAGAGTTTCACTGATGGGACATGAATGCTCTTCTTTAGTAATGCCCTGCGCCACATCAACAAATATTAGGTGCGGTTACACTCATCAACACCTGGAAACTCCCCAGTATGATTACAATCTGAACTTTCAGACACATTAGTATCTCCATTGGGGCGGATGGGAGTGAAGTTTTTAAATAAAATTGATTTCACTTAAAGGTGGGGTCGGTAAGTTTGAGAAACCGGCTCGAGATACACTTTTTGTTATATTCCATGGAATGCTCTTAACATCCCGATAGCAATGAATATCTTAAGTGCTTTGACAAAAAATCCATACAAAAATGTCATCTGTGGAAGCCGTAGTACTGTAAAAAGTACGACCAATCATCTGAGCCGGCCCGGCTAAAATAACTGGATGGCCTACCTGCCTGTCAGCCTTCCATCTGTGCACAAACTTATCTCGTGCCCTCATTGGTCATGTGCGCGTTCGTGTGTGTTGGAGGAGGGGCTCTGTAACGGACCGTCCACACAGCAGCGTTAAAAAATCTTGAAACGCTTCTGCCCATTCACTTTGAATGGGGTGACGTCACTTTCCCTCACTTTTCGCCGAACTGCATTGTGGGCAGGCGAGCGGAGATTTTCAGGATTTTCAGGATTCAAAGTTGAACAATGTTCAACTTTTGAGGCTGAGGTGGAAGCGTCAGCCAATCAAATCCCGTGTACGCAAATCTGACCGTTCAAGCTCTAGCCAATCAAACGGCGTGTATGCTGGGAGAGACATACCGCAGTTCATTTCCTCATATTCCAAAACATGGAGGAGAAATTAGCGGTAGGGAATCACCCGGTGCTTTATGACCAGTCCCTATTTACCTACCGGGATATAAACCGGAGGAGCCAGGCATGGAGGGAGGTGGCAGAGACAGTGGTATGTTTTCGCCTGTTTGGGGAGTTTATATCCAGTTTACTTCAAACTTTTTTGCTTCGTATGTCGGGGGCGGGAGATTCATGTGATTGGTTGTTGGTGCCTTGCTTGCAAAAAATCCCCAAGCTTCAGATACGCCCCCCTCCAAGATTTTTTTAACGCTGCTGTGTGGACGGTCCGTAAGGAAGTGGCAGATTTTTTCCGGCTGTGTATTTTCAAATTCTAGCTCGAGCTGGTTTCTCCAAAATTACCTACCCCACCTTTAAGTGAGTTGTGCAACATCTAAATGTAGCTTCTTCTGCAACTTTCATCTTTACTCTATGCCGTGATATTGTGTCCTGTTAATATCATTTCTAAACTGGCATCAGTGATACTGAGGCAGAGCTATTTCTTTCCATTTCACAGATATTTAAGCTGCCTTGAGATGTCTCGGTTGCTTATGGTTGTACATTTGATGTTTTTTCTCATGTGTCTGAAAGTCTTTAATACACACTGTTTAATTCCAGCTGTTTGAAATCTTACTCCTGATTAAATCCAGGGCTAGATGTTGTGATATTATTACAACATCTCAAGAAAGGGAACTACAGCTTATATCAACTTTAATACTAATGGTGATAGTATTTTAATACGTTTTCTGACGTCTAATAAATAATCTATGCAACTCTAATTTTAACACATTTGTTGACGTTATTATTATTTTAGTAAGAATATCTGCAATATGAAAAAGTGTATTTCCTTTGATTGTAAAACAGTTCACAAATGCACAGTAGGTCAATGATTGCTGGTATCTCCCAATTGGCACATTAAGCTAAACTTTGTAAATGATTAGTGGGAACTGTAACTACCGGAGCCTTTGCCAGTTTAAAGGAGGCCGTCAGAAATGTTTACCCTCCTAAACAGAAAGGAGCATTTGATAAATATCCAGAGTCTTTAAGGGGCCCTATTATTCTAATTGTCTTTGGGATTTTAGCCTTTGCAGACCATTTACATGCACAAAACCTATATAACACACTACAGGAAAGTGAAAAGCCTAAAAGCATAATAGGGCCCCTTTTAAATGTCTCATCTTATCAACTAGCAGTTATCATTTTCCACATGTACTTATCATGGCTCAACAACAGCAGTATTAACTTTTGGATATGTTTCTTTTTTTGTTGATGCTGTGCACGTGTGCTTGGCTTCTCTAACCTCTGACCTGATTTTGACCTTCCCCAACTTTGTCTTTCTTTTGCCCGCATTGCAGTCAGAACTAAGACATGGTCCCTTTTACTATGTGAAGCAGCCAGCACTCACCTCAGACCCTGTTGATGTTGTACCGCAAGACGGCAGGAATGACTTCTACTGCTGGCTGTGCCACCGCGAGGGCCAGGTGCTCTGCTGTGAGCTCTGCCCCAGGGTGTACCACGCCAAGTGCCTCAAACTGCCCGCAGAGCCAGAGGGGGACTGGTTCTGTCCGGAGTGTGAGGTACTCTCCCAGGAGTGTGTATCGTGTTGGACGAATGCTCAGATTTTATATTTAAGTTTAAAGTAGCAATATTAAACTGTTAATGTACTCTTAAAAGTGACAGTCTTGCATTCAAAATCATACTTAAGTAAAAGTACAAAGGTATTGGCATCAAAATATACTTCGGTTCCTAAAGTAAAAGTACTCGTTAAGCATAATGGCCCATTTTAGAAGTATTCATATTCAATTGCTGAATTATAATTATCGATGCATGAATGTGTCTATCCCAGCAGGTAAATGTGGAGCGAACTGTAATGTCTTTGTATACTGCCGCTATATAGTTTCATCTATACTTGTATGTCAATGTTTATTTTTAAGTTGTTCTATATATTTTGATTATCTATAAATCCAATTATATGAAGTAACTAAAGCTAAATGATAAATGTAGTGGAGAAAAATGTACAATTTTGGCTCCCAAAAATGTAGTAGAGTAGAATTATGAAGTAGCGTAAAATGAAAATACAAGTACCTACGTAATTTTACTTGAGTGCAATCCTTGAGTAAATGTACTTTATTACATTGTATACAAGTGTAAAAAACACGTTTTAAAGCCTTAAGTCAGAGCCTGTTGAAATAACAGTACGTTTGGACTCAAGTGATGAAAGCGCCTGTTTTTCTCTCGATGTCTTTCAGAAAATAACAGTCGCTGAGTGTATAGAGACTCAGAGCAAAGCCATGATGATGCTCACTATAGAGCAGCTGTCATACCTACTAAAGTTTGCCCTTCAGAAGATGAAACAGCCAGGTGTAAGTACTCTGCTCCCTCTGTTCATAGTGAATTCATGCTACCAAACTGATTACATTGTGTTGTGGCAATGTCTAATTACAGATGGGGTATACTGTATATTCTCATTTCTGCCTTTTTCTAATTCTACATTCAGATTGATCACTTGGGCCCTGTGTCCACATAGTGCTTTTTTAAGCAGAAAGGGGCTAGCAGGGAGCTGGTCAGAGCCTCCTCCAGCGTTTAATCGGAAAAGCTTGTTTCTATGACAGCGATACTAGGTATCACTGCTTTTGTAAGACTCACTAGCTTTGCCTCCTTGCTTTTTCTTATCAATTTGGGCGACTATGTATTTTAACAACGACCGGAATTTGCTTCCTTATATTGTTAGTCTTAATTAACTTGTCACTGCTCAGTCTGATAGCTGTAAAGCAAGGAGGATGAAGACGTTAAGGCGATAAAATGACACAACCGGCAGCAAAATCCACTGGCTGATTTGTTAAGATTCTTCTTTCTGGCCATTAAAGCTTCTCCTCCAATTTCTGCACTAGCGCTTTTCTGAAAAGATGAATGTTTTCAACTACAAGCAGTGGCATCACAAAAATGGCGGTAAGCTAAGAAAAACAAACGCTGGGTGCAGCACTTTTCCTCAAGGCAACTGAATGCCATCTGTTCTCTCCTTTGAGAACAATTGAAAAAGGCGCTATGTGGACACAGGCCCTTAGATATTGGCATGTGTTGTTTTCTGGACAAAATTGTATTTTTAGATTGCTTATATACCCATCATATTCCCCTTAGTCGTGCCAGATGTAAAGATCTGCAGCCTGACGTGCTACCTGTCCACATATCAATCTTGCATGATTATATATTATGACTTTGCATGTGCAATATTTCTAATAACAGAACTAACAATCACAGTGATTGTACTATAATGGGCCTGTCATGGCTGGAAACCATGAACATGCTAGCTGGTGCTGAGGATACAGCTGCCCCCTCTCACTCTCTTTCAGGATCATCCGCGCTTGTCATCTCGCACCCCCCATGCAGCTTCCACGCAGAGAAAGACTTTTAATTGGGTAATCAATTACACCACTAACAAGACCCCGTCATGATTTCTTCCTCCGCTGGTTTTTCCTCCTTTTGTTTGAAGCGGCTTGTAGATTTTCTTTTAGTAGTAGCATGTGTGGTAGAGGGGAAGGTTGAGCAGTAAGAGTTTCCTTCATTCTCTTCTCTGTTTATTCACTTCTATAGACTGAACCCTTCCAGAAACCTGTCTCTCTTGAACAACATCCAGATTACGCCGAGTACATTTTTCACGCTATGGACCTTTGCACACTTGAGAAGGTAAACCCACAAGCTGTTACAAATGTATCTTCGATAATATGAATTTAGCAATGTTTGAAAGTGTTGTCAGTCGGGCCCCATCTTTCCTTTTTGCACCGCAGAATATTAAAAAGAAAATGTATGGCTGCACAGAGGCCTTCTTGGCAGATGCAAAATGGATTTTGCACAACTGTATTATATACAATGGAGGTATGTTTCATTGTGTGGAAACCATATTTAAAGAGGCCCAATTATGCTAATTTCCCGGTTCATATTTGTATTCTGCTTGGACATGTTTACATGCTTTAAAGTTCAAAAAGGTTGTTATTTTTCACATACTGCCTGTGCTGCAGCACCTCTTTTCACCCTCTGTCTGAAACCAGAGCCCAGTCTGCTCTGATAGGTTAGCTGGCCGGCTCTGTTGTGATTGCTCCAACGCTTAGAGATGTCCCGCCTCTTAGCCTATCACGTACAATGTGTGGGAGCGTTAGCCAATAGAAGCGAGTATGATTCGTAGGTAAAGAAAGGACTTCAATGGATGTGTTTCAGGCAGGAGGGGAATGTATAAACCCATATAACACACTAAAGGATAGGGAAAACCCCAAAAAGCATAAAAGGGCCTCTTTAATAAGAAGATACATATACTATGTCATGAAATAGTCTAATTGATTTTCAATGAAATCAACTGTGATGTTCATTGTCAGTTTTTAATTGCAATTCTCACAAAATAATTAATTTTGCTTATTAGAGTTTTGTTCAAAACTATGTTGTGTAACATAAATGTATGTCTTTGTTTCAGGCAATCACAAACTCACGGCTACTGCTAAAGTTATAGTAAAAATCTGTGAACATGAGGTGAGTATTCAGAAAATATTTGTATATTTGATTGACGAGTGCTGAAACTTCATTTCATATTTCTTCTGACTCTTTAATTATAGATGAACGAGATTGAAGTCTGTCCTGAGTGCTACCTGTCTGCTTGCCAAAAGAGAGACAACTGGTTCTGTGAGCCTTGTGTAAGCTAGTTGAGTGACTTGAAGTTTCTGTTTATGATTCCACCAGATTGTTTAGCTTTTTAAACATAAATCCCTGGAATACACCAACTTAGTTCCAGTGTTTTACTGTTTGTCTGCAGAGTAACCCACACCCTCTAGTGTGGGCCAAACTGAAAGGATTTCCATTCTGGCCTGCTAAAGCTCTGCGGGACAAAGACGGACAAGTGGATGCTCGCTTTTTTGGTCAGCATGACAGGTATCAGCCCTTCACTTACTCAGTTCCTCTTGCACAATTCAAGCTTTGTTTCTGATTTATGTTTTCATCCTTCAGGGCTTGGGTTCCTTTAAACAATTGCTACCTCATGTCCAAAGAGATTCCCTTCTCTGTGAAGAAGACTAAGAGCATCTTCAACAGTGCCATGCAAGAGATGGAGGTCTATGTGGAGAACATGAAGAAGAAGTTTGGAGTGTTTAATTATGCCCCCTTCAGGACACCATACACTCCTGACAACAACTTCCAGATGCTGCTGGATCCCTCCAACCCCTTATCCGCCTCGATCAAATCTGAGAAACAGGAGAAGATCAAACTGAGCTTTGATATGACGGCATCACCCAAGATCTCTTTAGCCAGGACCATGTTGTCTGCAGCTGTAGTGGTGGGAGGGGGCACAGTTGGACGACGGCTCCCCCTCGCTGACATGCCTCGATCCCCCATGAGCACCAACTCCTCCGCCCATACTGGTTCGGATGCAGAGCAGGAGACAGCGGACAAGTCCCAGACAAAGGCTCCAAACAGCCAGTACAGTACAGGAGAAGAGTCCATGGACTGTACAGGTACCTCACCACGTGTATGTTGTTGTTGCAACAAGTATGTTATGTCTAATGAAGAAAGACTAACATTATGTGTCTCTGAACAGCATCACCTGCCCATCCTCGACCATGTCCTGCAGGCAGTTCCTTGGACAGCCCTAAACCATTCCACTCCCCAGCTCCCAGTGTCAAGCAGGAGAAGACGCCGCTCACAGGAAGCATTCTGAACCTCAATCTAGGTGAATATTTTATGGCAATTATAAAATATGCATTACTGTATTTAAAGATGTTCATTCTCTGTGAGCAAAAATCGTTCGTTAGTGTCAATGATCCTGCGTGAAACAATGCCTTTCAGTTGCGCAGATATTTAGGCTGACACCTTTCAGATCAATATGCTCTTGTCCCACAAATGTGTACATTATTTTGGGAGGAGGGCCTGTGTCCTGACAACTGTGCTACTCTAATGCATGAAGTTGGCATTTTGCCGGTGGGGTTCATGGAGTTGATCAACGCTTACTTTTGCAGGTTGGATGATGTTGGTTTTGTGTTGGTTTTGTATTGGTTCGGGTGGGTGCAAGTATTATTTATTTAAAATGTAACTGCAGATGCATCCCCTTGCAACAGCTTTGCAGGCTTTTTCTATTTTGAGAAATCGTATGAATGCATGTGTGGGCGGCTGTGGCTCAGTGGCTAGAGTGCTGGACTTCGAATCAGGGGGTAGCAAGTTTGAGTCCCACTGCAGTCAGCATGTCGTTGTGTCCCTGGGCAAGACACTTCACCCAAATTGCTCCTGTGGGGATTGTCCACAGTACTGAATGTATGTAAGTCGCTTTGGATAAAAGCGTCAAACAAATGACATGTAATGTGTGTGCTGATCAGCCTTTTAAAGGTCCCATGACATGCTTTTCTGGTTATTACCCGTCCCCTTGTGTGTTATGTCGCTTTTTCTGCATGTAAACGGTCTGCAAAGTCACAAACCCTCAAAGTACACCCTGTAGCGAGTAAAACTCTGACACAGAAAAGACCTGTCTATGCTGCCCCAGAACGCCTCGTTGGAGATTTTTCTTTTTCTACTTCCTGGTCGTAGTGACGTAAGGGTCACTGTGACTTAACGGCTCTTCGACTTCCTCACACACATACACTCACTCAGCCTTATCTTTTCTCAGCCGCAGCTCCGCGGATTTCTCAGCCTGAACTCAGCCTGAGCACACACACACTCGTAGCCTGGCTGTGAGTAGCCTGAGTTTCGCGGTGTCTCGCTGTCTCGCAGACCCCACGCAGCAACCAGGAAACGACACCAGTAACCCAGCTCAGACTGTCCGCTCCAGCAGCGAGCCCCGCAACGTCCCGCCAACACGGCACCCAGACCCCACGCAGCATTCTCATCTGTTTGTCCTTACTGGTGTCATTTCCTGGTTGCTAACGCCATTGTAACACATAATCACTGATGTTCCGCTGTAACGGTGGTGGACTCATCAGAACAGAGTGGGCGAGCTGACCAATCAGAGCACAGTGGGCTCATAGGGAGGGGGGGGCAGGAGCTCCAACAAGGCGTTTAGGACAGAGAGTGAATACACATACTATACAGAGATGCTGTATGAGAAACCACTGTGAGTTTGGAACATTGAACAATGTAAATCTATTCTAGTAGACCTCAACAATGGAATTATGATCAGTAGAAATGGCCATGACATGGGACCTTTAAGTCTGTTTTTACCATTTAAATATACACTTAGTAGATTAAAAATAAGGTTAATCAACCAATCGATCTGTTTAAGAGTAGGTGGAATTTCAGTCCTACAGATACATTTCTGTTTGGAATAATCTCATGTTGATTTTTCTAGATCGGAGTAAAGCAGAAATGGACCTAAAGGAGCTCAGTGAAACGGTTCAGCAGAAACAAGGAGCCACACCCGTCCTCACTTCTCCAAAAAGACAGATCAAGAGCCGTTTCCAGCTGAACTTGGACAAAACCATAGAGAGCTGCAAGGCACAACTGGGTCAGTAGAGCATGCATTGAATAAAGAAAAGCAATTTCTGTTGTTGATAGTCAGCAGAAGGATTACTCTCCTAACTGAACATAGTGTTGTGATATATCCCTCCTTCTTTGTTTTGCAGGTATAGATGAGATCTCTGTTGATGTGTATAAAAGTGTGGAGCACAGTGACTCAGAAGACTCTGATAAGTCTGACTCCAGTGACAGTGAGTATGCCAGTGATGAGGAGCAAAAGACCAAGGACGGTCAGGATGCAGCCTCCAATGATGACGCCCAGAAGGAGCCTATCAAAAGTAAAGGCAAAGATCAACCTTCTGTAAGCCAAGATAAGGAGGGTAAAGCCGATTCACTCGAGGCATCAGACACGGCAGAAAGCGACGCCAGTGCAGCAGCATCAGATGCTCCGAAAAGAGAAAAAACGAGCGTGGATTCTGAAAAAGAGAGCCCTGTCAAGACCAAAGCAACTCCACTATCACCTCCTCTAAGGGAGAAGGGGCAGGCAAAACAAGATGCAAAACCGCCGGTGGAGGACTCTGACTCAGAGAGAGAGCTGGTTATCGATCTCGGAGAGGAACAGGGAAGCAAGGACAGGAAGAGGAGCAGGAAAGACCATACCACTCTTAAAGAGTCATCTGTTGGTAAATCTGAAGGTGAGAGTGATTATCTTTTAGCATATGTGACATGTCGTTACATAATCTTTGGCACTGGTAAATAATGTTGGTACTTTCCCTGGTAGGTAAAGCCCTGACCCCATCGACACCGTCTCAAAACAGCACAACTCCCTCCAGTGTTTCCCCTATGGCCATCCCTGTCACCATGCTCTCCTTCACTGCTCCCTCACCCTCAACCATAAGCCTCGCACCCGTGTCCAGTGCCACCGCAACACCCCCTTCTTCTTCTTCATCCTCCTCCCCAGCCTCCACCACGCCTGCTTTGAAGAAACAGCGTCCTCTGCTGCCCAGAGAGACGGTGCCGGTGGTGCAGAGAGCGGTGGTCTGGAATCCCTCCGCCAAGTTTCAGACCTCCTCGCAGAAGTGGCACATGCAGAAGGTGCAGCGTCAGCAGCAGAACCAGTCACCTGTGGCCACCATGCAGATAGAGGCGTTGTCTCCAAAGCAAGGCCAGGCTCAAGCATCAACACAGGCCACAGGGAATGGCTCCACAGCAGTATCTTCATCTTCCTCTTCAGCACCGCAGTCTTCACAAAGCACACGCTATCAGACCAGACAGGCTGTTAAAGGTAGATAAAACGTATTTCAAGTATGACTTATCACAGTGTGTGAAGTCCTTCATGTAATAGAAAATCCTACTATTTACCCTTCACAGCAGGTGTGCCCTAAATATTTTCAATTGGAAAGGCCAAAACAGAAACTCAGTGGTGGACTATGGGCTGAAAAGCAAACACCTATTGCATTAACTTAGATTTTTTAAGGGGCAGACTCCCATCGATCAGGATCCCATGTGCCAAACTAACTCTCAAAGTAATAAATGGCACTCTTCCCTCTTGTCTTAGAATATGAAAAATAATTAATAAGTGAGCATACATTTTTGAAGAACATGATTAAACTGTTATTTATATTATTGTTTATTAAAATAATATTTTTTCTGCTAGAAACGTCTGGCAGGCAAAATCTTACCTGATGGCGGCCCAAGTTTGACCCACTTTGGGCAGCACTTCTCTACAAATGTGCAAAATATTTCTCCATCCTTTTTCCATAATAATCTGAATTTCTGTGTTTTCTAATTCCAGCTGTTCAACTAAAAGACTCTACCCTCAGCACATCCACGGTCACCCTGGTTACCAGTAGTCCAGCTTCTGTTGCCATGATGGCAGCGTCAAGTTTAGGCACAGCTGCCACCTCGTCACCAGTCGCCACAGACGTGTATATCCCCACGGCCTCAGCAGAAGTAGCTGCAGACATTGCCAAGTACACAAATAAAGTTAGTATAATTATCTGTTTACATTTGCCACATTTACTGGATGTAGCCTAAGCCCTGGCTGATCATTAAAGAAAGCCCTGAGAGAAAATTATGTCAATTCTATCTAGCTTTTAAACTACATATTTCTGAAAAAATAACCAGATAAGAATTGGTAGTTAAAAAAGGCCTGTGTTGTTGTTTTTACAAAAGACAGTGTAATTATGGAAGCTATGCATGTTTACTATTTGAAAACATGGGATCTTCAGCATTCATAATCGTATGTTGCCCAAAATAAGTATTATTACGAAATAATCTAATAATAAATTCGTACAAATATGACCGTTGCAAATATCAAAGCAAGTTGTGTTTAAAAGATGCAGGAGAATTCTCTCCTCAGACTACAATAACATGCTTGGTATGGCTATATAATAATAAAAAATTCCGAGCTTTCAAAGGCACCTGAAGGCCCCTCGACGACTTCCCCATAGCGAACAGTATAAACGGAGTGCGCATTTTACATTTACAGTGGCTTAAAGAGAGGTTCTCTGCAAATTATGTCACTAAAGCATATTTGTTTTAAAACGGCAGATATGAGTTTGATACAGTATTATCGTGAAACTGGGCATGCTGGTAATTCAGAGGCAGGTGGAGGGAGCATCATGGGGGAGCATGGGAGGGAGTCGGCCATCTTGGTGACGTTTGTCTGACGTAGACTAGTGAAGGCTCTGTCTGGGGCCCTCTGGTGGATGAATCACTGCACTGCAAGCATTAAGGCTGGCAGTGCTGTGATTCATAGGGTAGTGAATAAGTGAGTACAGTTATATATGTATGATTTTAAAAAGAAACTTGATTCTCTGAACTATGTTGTTTCTTGAAAAATCCTGCTCTGAATGCCCTGCCATGAAATACTTTTTTCTTGAATGAGACTTCGTAATATAATGATTTATTCTCTTTTCAGATAATGGATGCAATCAAAGGTACAATGACTGAAATCTACAATGACCTTTCGAAGAGTACTTCAGGGAATACAATAGCAGAGGTAAGTGCTTTCTCTTGACCCTATAGAAACTAACTACTATTCAGACCATAACAATGGCTTTGCATTTGGCCCTTTACATACCCTAACACCCCTGTTTTTGTTTTGTAACCAGATAAGAAGACTAAGAATTGAAATAGAAAAATTACAGTGGCTCCATCAGCAAGAGTTGTCAGAAATGAAGCACAATCTTGGTGAGAACTTCATCGACCAATGCATATAGCCTTTTCCCCCCAAAACTGTGTATGGTGTTTTTACTTCTGCTTGATCGTGTTTATATGTACTTCAATGCAGAGCTTACAATGGCAGAGATGAGGCAAAGTCTGGAACAGGAGAGAGAGCGGCTGGTGACTGAGGTGAAGAAACAGACGGAGCAGGAGAAGCAGCAAGCAGTGGACGAGACCAAGAAGAAACAGTGGTGTGCTAACTGCAGGAAGGAGGCCATCTTCTACTGCTGCTGGAACACCAGCTACTGTGATTACCCCTGTCAGCAGGCCCACTGGCCCGAACACATGAAGTCCTGCACGCAGTCAGGTATAGCATGTCCCAGCACCATCAATGTCTATATTACATCAACATATGCGTTATATTTAGCCACATCACATATTAAATCTTGAATCATTTTTGTGTCATTCCTTACATCCATACTGTAAATCTTTGCACACATTTCTGCACAATGCTTCCGCCCAGTTCTTCCACTTACATTCTAATATACTGCACACATTTTTTACAGTCATTTTTCACATTTTATTTGTTTTACTTTCTTATTTATTGTACAAATAATGTATTTTACTTTATTATATTTGTTACAATACTTTTTATACTTAAGTAATCTTCCTTTGTTCAATCAACATCAACTCAAATTCCTTGTTTGTGTAAACCTACTTGAGAATTCACCTGATTCTGTATCAGTCGATGACATTAACACAAGTTTCTTTCATAAGCCTGCTCATATCTCTGTCTCAAAGTCTCCTTTTCTTTGCTTGCTTCTATAATCACTGGCGACAATACACCTGACATTTTCCTAAATGTAATGTTTTTTGTTCTATTTCAGCCACAGCCCCACAGCAAGAACCTGAGGCTGAGTCGACAGCAGAGCTCCCTAACAAAGGTTTAGGGCAGGCTGGAGGCCCGAGCACTCTGAGAGAAACGCCGGTCTCTGCACCGTCAGACAAAGACTGTGACATGGAAAAGAGCACTGACAACGTTGCTGTTACTTTGTCCTAAACAAGATTTCCATACTTGAAAATGTAAATGTGTGTAGATATTTTTTTTCCACTATAAAGATATGTCGATGTAAATGTGTCTGTTCAAGCGGCTGTTGAGGGAGCAATCTAAATCCTTTTTGATATATAAATATATATCTATATTTGTGTTTGCCTTTTTAGGCTCACATATCCCAGTGCACAGTGGTTACATTTTAAATGTGGAAACAAGACTGACAGCAGATAGTTAATAACCACTAGAGGGGGCAGTCTACAAAATGTATACTGCACATTCATGCACATTTGCCAACTTTGGAGAGCTGTCAGCATACAGATCTTAAAGGTAGGGTAGGTAAGTTTGAGAAACCGGCTCGAGATCGCTAGAATTTGAAAATACACAACCGGAGAAAATCTGCCACTTCCTTACAGAGCCCCTCCTCCAACACACACGAACGCGCACATGACCAATGAGGGCACGAGATAAGTTTGTGCACAGATGGAAGGCTGACAGGCAGGTAGGCCATCCAGTTATTTTAGCCGGGCCGGCTCAGATGATTGGTTGTGCTTTTTACAGTACTACGGCTTCCACAGATGAAATTTTTTTATGGATTTTTTGTCAAAGCACTTAAGATATTAATTGCTATCGGGATGTTAAGAGCATTCCATGGAATTTAACAAAAAGTGTATCTCGAGCCGGTTTCTCAAACTTACCTACCCACCTTTAAGAGCATGCCTGAGTGTCACAAAACATAATCATAGTGTTAACAGTTTCAAACTGCAAAAATGTAACCCTTGATAATGGACCACCCAGAGGTTAGATTAGACTGTTGACAGAAACGTCTGTATATTTGCTATTTTATATTTTATGTTAATTTATTTGTTATTCTATTGTTGCCTGCTGTATACTGCAAAGAAACTAACAAATACAAACATTTTAAACAAACTGTTTCAATGTTTACAATGCAGTTTGCAATCCAATGGCGTAGCTTTAACTATAGTGTGAGCTGGAAAATACATTCTTAAACTCAAGTTCGGATAATACCATCTGGTAAAATTGTTGGTTTATAGTTGTAATTTACATTTTAATTAGGGCATTAAATACAGACGCATGTGTGGTCAAAATTCTGCAATTCTGTATCAAATATCAGAAGAAGTTTGGGATTTTGACAACTTTAAGCTGCAACTAATTCCTTAACAGAATGGATGGTTCCCAAATGTGAAACCTGACGCATATTTGATTGGTATACGATACGATACATTCAGTATATTAATATATTGTCTACTACAAGTGATTAATTGAAGTGATCAAATCCAGCCACATTTCCATTTAGATTGTACATCTTTATTTTCTAATATTGTTACGTTCCCTCCTAAACTAGGGGTACAAAGGGAAGTAACAAAACACAAAGGAGAGGAAACTGACTGCTGAAGCCACAAAGTGAGGTTTTAATCAATAAAAAAGTAAAGAGGCTCACCAGCCAATTTGCAAAAACAAACTTAAATAACACAAAAAGGTAAACTGGAGCACATCTAACAATTCACAAGAACACAGGCCTCACACAGAGACAGAGACAGAGACATGCTGCACACATGCAGCCAGAGGAGAAGGAGAGAGACCACTGCAGCCTTCCTCAGGTCATTTAAGGAGGCCCTGATTGGGGATTGGGAGCACCTGGGGGAGAGGCTGCACCTGGAGACAATCAGGGAGAGAGAGAGACACACACAAAAGCACACAAGCACCAACTGCGGCACGTAACAAATATAATCAAATGAAAACGAAATATGCTAGCATGAAGATTACGTATTACTTTTTATCTTGTACTACAATGCGTAGGCTTACAAGCTACAAGCCAAACAAACCCAGTACTGTTGTTCACGCATGCTCAGTTCCCCTCCTGTCCGGTGGCGGCGCTGCAGACACGCTGAGCGTACTCTAACAGTCAGCCATCTGCCGCAGTCAGTTAGCTAGCTCCTCCAGCGGGAATGGAAAATGGAGGACTGACCCGAAGAACGAGGGCATATCATCGGTATTTCTAGCCTTTAGGTGGGTACACTGCAACAAATGGATATGTTAGCAATGTATGTAGTTTAAAATGATGTGTGAGATACGCCCGTGTCTCAGTTGTGTTCTTTCTGCAGGTCGGTTTAAGATGATGTAAGCTGCGCCTGATGTTAGCTCAAACGTTAACTGGTGTGCAGCCAAATTACGCGTGTATTTGTCCTTAATAATTTGCATGTGTTAGTTGAATATGACTCTAGTTACGAAACGCATGTCGCATTAAGCTTAATGGTTGATAGTTAGCGTTATTTGCTATAATTTCCTCTGTAAGCCAAGTGGCTAACAGCTACAGGTTGAGTTTGACGTTAGCATTCCTGTGCTCGTGCTGGCTATTAGCCTTAGCTAGGCTTGTTAGCTACAAGTGCACGTTTCGCATTGTTTAGTTACTCGCTGTAAGATGCAAATAAACGACGAAAACCACAAACATGTCAAGACGCTTAACGCCAGGTACATAGTTGCTTATTATGACCGGTCAATTAAAGCAAAGAACAGTTTGTGCCACTGGGCTTATGGTTAACGTTTTCTAACGGTCGGTGTTAGCTATCATGGGCTGTGTACGGTCTGCAGCAGGTCGCGTTACATTCTGTTGTCGTCGGTCGATGTCTGATATCCACAATATAGTTTGTCTTATTTCTTAAATATTTACAGATAAATAGGCCTGCATTAGCGTGATACCTATGCATGGCTGTGATTTATTGAAATGTAAGATTTACTATATCATGCGCACCAAGGCCCAGTGCAGCTTCAATATTTTGGTTTCAAGCGGCAAATACTCACTACAAACGGCCTTACTGTATCAACATGTCGTTTGCGAAATTTCTACAGACTGTTTCTCTCATCGGTTTGTTTGTTAAACGCTAGTGTTAAATTAGATGTCAGCGGTCCCTCCCACCTCTCATGGCAACAGTTTTTCCTGCCATTCACGTGGCACGGTGCTGTAATCACAGCACAAAATTGAAGAAATACTTCATTAATTTGAAATTAATTTTCAAATGTTGACGGTGCAGTGTGTAAAGCTATTCAATCTACTAGCAGGTATAATTTCGCATTTGCCTCAAAGTTCAGACTTCAAAAGACTCGTTTCATAGCAGCATTTTAGCAAGAAAGGCAGGTGAAAAGAATAAGATACGAGTGTCCGATACGCCTACTCAATGAGTCAGCATGAACGATACCAGAGCCCCTTAACTGGTTCACTTTGAGATGCATGCTTTATTAATGTTGATCATTTCACTTGTGCTTTGGCATTCAATATTCCAACTGGGAACATGGTGTATATAGCAGTTATGGAATTGATTAATATCCCAGTGACTAAGCATCTTACATTTTCAGAAAATACACATTTGTTTATATTCGTCATCTCAACTAGCCCTAGCTGTTGTTGCATCTCAAACCAGTGTGGAGTTCTTGGGTTTTACTGGGCTTTTCTTTTTGGCAGATCCTTTGACCTTGTACCAAGACAGATGACTACTGGTGCAAGGCTTTTGCTTTGTTTGAAGAACAACTCTGTTAAACATCACTGCTGAACTGCAGGTAAAGGCAATGCCTATTTATTTTATGTGTGCACGTTTGGCCCTGGAGAATCTCAAATGAAGTCCAGTTTCTGTGAATTCTCATAATAAATAACACTTGAAAAGAATATCATCGATTTAAAATAAACATTTACAATATCTATATTGTTTTGGGCCAGAAAACATTGTGCCTTAGAATGTATGACTATTAAACATGTTTTTATTTATTTATTCCAATATCCTAAATCGTTCAGTGTTTAAAAGTCCAGAATGAAGTCCAACTGATACTCACATTTTTCCGAGTTCCATATTGAAATCTGATAATATATATTTATATTAAATCTCAGCCAATGGTAATTATAGTTTTTCAACATGCATATAATAACTAAGTTCTCTTTTTATAAAGTTTGTGACAACGATGCATATTCTGCAGAACATTTTACAATGGGCATTTCTGCTTTTAAGATTTGTTGTAACTTATCAGCCTACATTTAAACTGATTCTGAAATTTGCATTTTAAATGCTTATATAATGGCACAGCAGGTTATTTACCAATGGCCTTTACATATAGGAGTTTTTACATATACCTGTTATTGATATAAGAAGTCACATGTGGGTTCGATATGAGTTTGAAAACCCAAATGCGTATGGATACATTTATTTGGAACAGACAGTCGAGCTAGTGTCAAAGACGGTCCTGCTAAGGACCTCAGTGGCCTTTTACTCAGCGGCAACTGCGTTATACTATTTTTGGAATAGATTTTAAGGAACTTTTAAAAAATCTGTATTGCATTGAACCAACACTTATAAAAGGAAACGGATCATAATAGGCTAAATTGAAGAGCATGATCTCTTAAGCTATGAAATTGAAAATGCCATAATACATAGAATAAGGACAAATGAATGTGTGTAAGATGGAATACTATTATATGAAGTAATTCTGTTTTGGCTAAATTTGAACATTTAAATGACCAACAACAACATTTGTCCTGGTGATGGGAACATCTTGGTAATACCAGCTTGCCTTATTAATATAGTATTTGCCGTATTATAAAATGAAAAGAGTGACTCATAGCTGGTCTCTTGTGCTCTTCTCTTAACTATAGACATTCTGTTTGAAAGTAGTGGTTGTCCATCATCTATGGAGGAGAATGCGAGCCCTGAGCTCTGTGTAGCTCCTGAAACAGAGCAGAGCCAGGACAGTATGGATAGCTGCTCTCAAGGTACCTTGGCTGAGCATCTCTTCCACTCACAATGAAGGGGTGTTGACATTGTAGCAATACTGGGCACAGTTGTGGTTCTATTATCTTTAAATGATTAAAACAAATAATAATTGTTATAATTGGTTTTGATTCATGTAGACTCATCAGTAAAAGTGTGTAGTTTCTTGGCTAGGTTACACCCTGAAGACTGTCATAGTTAGTTAGTAGTGGATAGTCATCTTTTCTCCTTGAATACAGCTTGCTTTGTTTGTTCACAGGATTTGGTGAAGGGAATAGATTGCAGAAAGAACCGCTTCAAACCGAGAGCGAGAATGTGGCCAAAGAGACGATAGAGGAGCCAGAGAACTCTTCCCCGGCCAACAGTGAGTTAAAGAAGACCTGGTCTTTCCGCCGGTCCACTGTTGCAAAAAGAGATATGCCAGTGGAGGCAGTAACCGACTGTCCTGTACGGCGCAGCGGCAGGCAGCCTAAGCGCACTGACAAACTAGAGGAATTCCTATCGACCGCCAAAAGAGGGACAAGAAGGAGCGCCCCTCCTAGTCTGGAGAGTGGAGATCCTCCTTCCCAAACCCCAACCGATGCAGAGACTGCCTCAGAGGCCAGCTTCGATGGAAATGCTGACACCAAGGCTGCAGAGGACAAGACAGAGTCCCCCGAGAGGAAGACGAGAAGCAGCACAAGGAAGCAGCCCCAACGGAAAAGTCGAGGCGGCAGACAGACTCGAGGAGGCGGTGGAGTGACAGTCAAAGATGAGGGGAGCTCTGAGAATGATGAAGACAGCAGAGACGCTGCCAAGAAAGACCAGCTACAGGATAAAGACGAAGAGAAAAAAGACGGAGAGAGTAATCCCAGTCCTGAAGATGTAGAGAGCACTAATGCAGCACAGCCTCAGCCAGAGCAGGACTCTGGGGAGAAGGAGGTTGTTGAGGAGGAGAACCAACATGGAGATGACAACGACAAAGAGGAAACGGAGAAGGACTCGGACAAAGAGACTGACGAGGAAAGCACCGGCAAGCCTGCATCGATGACTGTCAAACGTGGACCCATAAGAACATACATCAATAAAAAGAGGGCAGCCACTAAGAGCACCACCCCTGTTAAAGGTCCCGCCCCCGCCAACAAGATCACCACTCCTGTCAAGAGGGAGACAAAGCCGAATGCCACCCAACCTTCAGGAGTAATGCGCAACCCACAAGGCGACAACGAGGATGAGAATGACTCTTCGATGTCTTCATCTTCCTCCTCCACGTCGTCTTCCATGGATTCAGATGAGGGAGGGTATGACCCCAATGCACTTTATTGCATCTGTCGCCAGAAACACAACAAAAGGTATTTATTTGTTCATATTTAGGAGTGATATAATATGGGGTTAGTTTTACCAATATCTACCTGATTCTTATCAGATAACTGAATATGTCTCAATGTTGTATTAAAACAATAACTTCAGGGTAAGACATTCTAGATTTAGTAAGGATGGAGGATTTAATAATCCATAGCTCAGACCTAAACAAATCTTACTAACATCACTATTCTTAAAACAACAAAAAATAAGGAATCATTTGCAGTCTTGGAAGTTTTTCTTTTTGGTAAAATATATCATAAAACTAGTTTTACACTTTTCAAATGACTTCTCTTCAGAATCCCTTTATTAGTCCCACGAAGGGAAATGTGCTTAGTTACAGCAGGAAAAAGAGCCACAGACAGCTTAATGTTACATATGTTAAATATGTGACATGCATTTAAAAAAATAATAAAAAATACTAAGTTATGATATAATAAAAAATAAAGTTACATAATTTAAAAGAATACACATCCTGTAACAGTTCTTAGGATTTAGCAGCCAGGTATATATTACAGTTATTAACGGCATCTATATATATTGCACATCTAGCACATATTGCACATAGGTGGTTGGTATTTAACAGCAGCAAGTCACACAATTTACAAAATACAAAATACACACCTTGTAACAGTTCTTAGGATTTAGCAGCCAGGTATATATTACACAGTTATTAACGGCATTTATATATTGCACATAGTTTGTTGGTATTTAGCAGCAAGTGGTGATATAGTCTGTGTTGTGGTGTGTGTGTGTGGGGGGGGGTTTAGGGGCTATCTTTCTCTGAAACTGTTACAGAACGCCAACAACGTTAGATATGGATAGCACCACCTTCTTTCTCATAATCTGTAGATGCTGCGATTAATAAGTAGTTGAAATTAATTTGGCTTTGTGCCAGGTTGTCGGCTATAATTGTATTATCGGAAAAATGCATGGTAAAAATAGATTCCCCATTATTAGCCTGTAATTGATTCTCACTGATGCATACTGACTGCATACTGATGCATACTGAGTCGATTTAAAGGTGGGGTAGGTAATTTACTTCAGAAACACTTGTTATATTCCATGGAATGCTCTTAACATCCCGATAGCAATGAATGCTTTGACAATAAATAGATAAACAAAATGTCATCTGTGGAAGCTGTGGTGCTGTAAAAAGCACGACCAATCTGCCGCCTCGGCCCGCTGCATATAACTGGATGACCTACCTGCCGGTCAGCCTTCCATCTGTGCAAAAACTTATCTCGTGCCCTCATTGGTCATGTGCGCGTTCGTGTGTGTTGGAGGAGGGGGTCTGAAGGAAGGGGCAGATTATTTTCGGCTGCATACTTTCAAATTCTAGCGCACTCGAGCTGGTTTCTCCATTCTTACCTACCCTACCTTTAATGTGTTTAACAATAAAGTACATTTTAATGAATATAATACCAATTGCTCTTTAAACAATGCTATTTTAAGTTTCAATGTATGACGTCGGGCTCGTATTTACAGCCACAGTGTGTTTCCACATTTCCATGTTGTGTTAATTCTCAAAAATTGTGGTAAAGAATGCCAGACTGAGTTTTGGTTGTCACTATAAAAGTTCTGTGCTCTCCAGGTTCATGATCTGCTGTGACCGCTGTGAGGAGTGGTTCCATGGAGACTGTGTGGGCATCACTGAGGCCCGCGGGCGCCTGATGGAGAGAAATGGGGAAGACTACATTTGCCCCAACTGCACCGCTAAGAAACAGCAGCTGGTCCGACCCGCCACTTCTATGCTCTCGTCTAACATAGATCTGGGGAAGGCCAGAGCGCAGACTCTCATATTTTCTGCTGCAACCTTTGGGATAGACGCCAGTATGTTAGGGGTTCAGTTGGGGGGGGCACTTCCACCCTCCAGCATTGGAGCTGAAGAGAGGGGATCAGAGGACCAGGGCATCAAAGGCAGGATAGAAAAAGCCACTAATCCAACTGGGAAGAAGAAGATTAAGATCTTTCAGCCGGTAGGTTCAAACGGATCTCAAATCAACGGCTATGTTATTATGAGTCCAGCTAATCATTTATTGACTGATTTGCCTGATGTTTTGTCTTCCAATGCTTCATAGAGAGGCGAAGTCCCGCCCATCTACTTCCGACCCATGGGACCTTGTTCCTGAAAAATTATGTATTGAAGTCAATGGGGAGAGAAAACTTATCTTTCGATCCCGTTTGAATTGTGCCACAAATTACACGTATGATGTTTGTCAATCTTAAAATAATAATTTCCATGTCAAAAAAGTCACAGTTTGTTGTAAAACTGTTGAAATATAAGACTGAAAAATACGCAACTAGAAATACTACAAATCCCAGAATCCCGGTCCCGCATGCTGGCTCTTATGAACCGACTAACTCCCCTTGTGTGTATGTACAGCTCTCAACATGCCCAGACTTGGAGTGATTTTCACCTCTTTTAATACTTTTCGCCTCATTCTGAAAGAAAGAAGTGAAATGTGACGGCCATCTTGGTGTGTGGTGCGAGACGGGAGATGTAGTTCATTGAGCGGTTTCACACACAAAAGTGTTACTTCACAGTTTTACGACACATTTTAATTTTTTTGACTTGTAAAATTATCTTTTAAATTGACAAACATCATATGTGTAATTCGTGGCACAATTCAAACGGGATCGAAAGATAATCTTTCTCTCGCCATTGACTTCAATACATACTTTCTCCGAAATAAGGTCCCATGGAGCTCCCCTGGAAAGGGAGGGACTTCGCCTCTCTATAGTACATCGATAGTGTTGATCAATAATCACAATTTCAACCATTATATGATTGTTGGATATTTAAAGCAGTTAACATTCACAATTTTGGGGGTTTAAGGGTTAAGTACTTTTTAATCTAGATGACAAAATGACATCCTTGGCTGTTATTTGTTACTGTGTACCGAATTGTAGCAGGCCGCACAGCAGCCAACCCAACCAAAAGCAGTCCAGAAAGCCGCACCAGCTGTGGAGAAGAAGGCAGAGCCGAAAGCACAACCTGAGGTGGAGCAGAAAGTGGTGTCAAACGTAGAGGTGAACACAACACCAACAGGGGGGGGGGTCGGAGGAGAAGCCTGGGTCGGAGGAGAAGCCTGGGCCGGAGGAGAAGCCTGGGTCGGAGGAGAAGCCCGAGCCGGAGGAGAAGCCTTCAGAGGAGACACCCCCAGAAGAGACGCCCCCAGAGGAGACTCCCCCAGAGGAGACGCCCGGGCCGAAAGCTGCGGACGAGTCTTCCCTTCCCAAATGCATCGGGCCGGGCTGTGAGAATAACGCTCAGCAGGACTCTGTGTACTGTGGTAACGACTGCATCCTGAGACACGCCGCTGCAGCCATGAAGTCCATCACTGACGTCAAGGAGCCCAAGCAGAAGGTCAAGGCCGCAGAAAAGAAAACCAAGGCTGCACCAAAGGTAACTCGGACCACTCGATAATAATGCCTTCTGCCTGTCCTTTAAGCGTAAATATTCTTGCCTTTCACCTAATGAGAAAACATGGAGTGGAGTTATATTTTGGCAGTAGCAGCACACGGCACTTCCTTAGAAATGTTGCTATAAGACTTTTCATCTTGTGTTTTTACCAGATCTGAGAAATGATTTCCTTTTGTGGTGTGTCTTGGTTCGCTACAAATTATTTCCTTTCTGTGTCACTGTTGATTAGCATTTCAGAGAACAAACATTCATGTGTCTAAAATAATAATTTGAGGTAAAATTACTCAACCAATGGTAACAAGCAGCTGCTATTTTCTGATATATAAGAATGTACGGATGTTGAGGAAGCTAATTAAGTTGGTCATCAACCCACACTGGCAACCTGCAATGGAGCAGGTTCAAATCACTTGATAAGACAAAATGTACAACGGGCCCGTCTACTGACTCATGGGGAAAATGGAGTCATCAAAATGATCAAAAATGTTTTTGTTTACAACTGGGTGCAATTGTGTTTAGTTGTAATGTGTGGTATAGTGTGTGCAGCACAAAACTTAAAGCAGTTTTCCCAATGTTATCGTTTAACTTGAACCATTAATCAATCACTGATTCAAACAGAGTATTGGAGGATGTGATTGCATGATGTGAGGATTTTATATACTCAGAAATCCTTTAAACCTTTTCATACAAGAAGCAGTGATGAGTATAACAACTGTAATAAATCTGAGGGCCGAGTGATGAACTGAATCAAGGGGTTCAACAGAGAGCGCCTATAGATAACATTTGTATAATCCAAAAAGGGAAAAAGAAGACATTGCCTCGGATTGTAAAAGTGAATCCTTTCCCAGTACGCTCTGATGTTTGGGGGTGATAAACCTGTTTTAGGGTGTTTAGCCAAAGGGATATCTACATAAATATTGCTCCTTGTTTTTAATTGACACATTGTTTTGGTTACAGAGATGCATTTCAAGCTTTTTGTATGCACTCACACTGTCTGTGCCTTTAATGTCCTGTATCATTAATGTTATCATAATGGTGACTGCAGAGAAACAAAACACCTATAGGCTTGAAAATATCCACTGCACATACTTTTACTGGTATTACTGTTTGGTTTGATTGTGTGCTTATGTTCTATATCTTTTCTAAGCCTATTGTTGACCTAATTCTGTATCCCCAAATCCACACAGGAGTCTTCAGTCCTCCTTTTGTCAATACTTTTCACACGGCCTATTTCCTGCACACTCGTAGCTGGAAACATCCTGAGGTTTTATTACTTTGAAAACCCACTCAGGCCGTTTCTCAATGTCGAGTAAACCTGCTGCAGAGCCACTATTTCAAGTATACTACGTCATCGAGTGGCGCCGAAGGACTGTTTAAATGCCCAGCATTCGGCGCCACTCGATGACCTAGTATACTCGAAATAGTGGCTCTTCAGCAGCTTTATTCGACATTGAGAAACGGCCACAGACTTTTTGTGAGATTGAAACTTTAAAGGGTGTGGAAGCAAATGAACATCCATGTTCTGTCAAGTGGCTAATCTGAACTAGCTTGCAGGGAACTTTTATTTACTCCAGTTGGGAAACTATTTTCATATTGTTTAAACCAGGGGTGTCAAACTCAAGGCCCGGGGGCCAAATCCGGCCCGTGACTTCATGTTATGTGGCCCCACAAGAGCTTGCAAAGAATACAGTATGATTATTATACGGTTACATGCCGATTTACAGAAGCACGTTGCCCATAAACTACATGTCCCACAATGCATCTCAAATTTGACCTTTTTCTCAGAATTTGAATCTGACTTTGACATTTTCTTTTGTGACTTTTTTTCCAGAATTTGGCTTTTCTTTTGAAATCATTTTGTGACATTCTCACTGAAGAGACTTGCAATTATTTGCCCCAGACTTCTGCTTTCAGACATAGTTAATTATGAAGTTAGTACCCTATCTGATATTAATCCAATGCAGAGGCAATAATGTAATGTAATACATTATTTTATATATATTAAACATTTATATATGTATTTTTATATAGTCTTAAAGTTACAACCGGCCCTTTGAGTACAACCATGATGCTGATGTGGCCCGAGATGAAAATGAGTTTGACACCCCTGGTTTAAACCTTAATAAATACTTGGTGAGGGCCTGATGAGCAGTGCACGTGCTTTGTGAAACAGGTTCCCTGAAGGCAAAGTCTGAAATCAGTTGGACTGCTCGACCATTAAAATGGACCTGCCAAGAAATATTTGGTACACAGTGTACGTTGTTCATAGAAATGTTTAGAGAAGCTAAGAAGCTACATATAGAGCAATTCGGACATGCTATGTTCTCGAACTGTACCAAAAGTGCGAGCAAGAAGGACGTACAAGTTACATATCATAACCATTGACAGATTTTCCTGGCATTTTGCAATTCTTTTATCAGTCACATTTTTTTTCTGTTTTGACTAATGTTGTCAAACAGCTGAGTGCTGAAACTAAAAGCCTGAATGTGTGTTTCTTCCCGTCCACGCAGAGGAGTGCCGCTGGTGGCAAGAGGAAACCAAAGGAAGCAGAGGAGGACTCGGACAGCGAGGGAGACTACAGCTCGGAGCCAGATGATGATGATGATGATGAGGATGACGATGATGAGGAGGATGACGAAGAGGAGGAGAACGCTGAGGAACAACCGCCCCCGCCGGCCACTGCATCCTGGTCCAGCGACCATAATTACATTGCAGTAACACCAGAAAAGACTACACCCATATCACCAACAGTTTTAAACAAAAAGTGTATGTATCTCTTTGAAGGTCTTGGGCTGTTTTTGAAACCACGTTGTTATTTTTATATTATACATGTGATGCTAACGTAACGTGCCGTGGAGCTGGACTCCGCTGTATGCTAGACTTAGAAAACATTTGCAAAGTGTTTATGAAGTGATTTTGATAATGTAAAAGTTTCTTTCTACTAATGACATGTTGGCAGCTGTGACTAAAGGTAAGTGCTGTTTGTGGCTTTGGGTAAGTATTTAATAATAGAGAATGTATTTATCCTGAAGGGGCTCTCCACAGGTGATTAGTCATTTGATTAGGTACTAAGACTGGACGCAGTGGTAAAATGGCTTTGGGAGTGATTTCGACCACATTCCCAATAGATATACCTGGGTTATAAACTGAAAGCAGGAGTTTTGACAATATACCAGGTACACCTAGCGTTCCTTTTGTGGCCCTCGAGCCATGCTATGGCCAAGAGGTCAGTGCAGAGGCCCCTGCTACATCAAGTTAGACTTTTTCAATATGAAACTTGTCCTTTTTGAGTGTGTGTGTGACACTTAATCGATGGATTACCTCTTTCCCCATAGCTAAAAGGCAGGGGTGAAAACAGGACCATGTGGAAGAAAAGTCAACTTAACTCTTGTGCTTCACTATCAGATGCATGAATGTGATGAGTGACCATGTGTGTGAGTGATTTTTACAAACTCCTGCACAAGTCTCCACTTCCCGGGTTCATCACCTCAGCTGTTGACCCATTAAAAAGGTTCTTCCCTCCCTTTCTCCAGCAGGTAGGTGTCTCAGATCTCCCCCATGATAATGTGGACTAAAGAAGCTAACCTAGCTCACATTGAGTTGATAATATCAGCTGTCACTGCTGTAGTTTATTTCTACCCTTCATTTTGTGGTTAATAGGCTGAGTTCCAAGATTTTTTTTAATTCATATTGATTATGATGCATCACTCCTCCTGGAAAACTGGCTTTGAAATAAAAGGTGATATAACAGATTGTAGGATGCCTCGATTGATTATCTGAGCAGTGTTGGCTTGCTGTGGGAAGTTCAGCTCAATCTAAGCATTTACAACTGATTTATCTACACACACTATGGAGGCATCACACAGAAGACACCCCCTCCCCCCAGATGTTCAGCAGACGGGAAAAGAAGGAAGCCCTGCCAGAGACCAGCCCCCCCCCCCCCCCCCTGGAGATACTGCAGTGAAGTTCAGAAGGGCCACAGCAGAAGAAAGAAGCTGAAGACCTGGCTGAGCAAAGGAGGGAATCCAGCCTCAAATGTTTTACACATTTTGCACTTTTGATGAGATTTGATAAATATTAAGAGGATCGTTTGTTCCAATGAAATGTGGACAGTTAGTTTCCCTTTTATAAGGGGTCATTGAAGGCAACATGTGGATCTTTATTGATGAGAAACCTCTAAGGTCAGGAGATCAGTGTGACCATTGACTGCAGTGACCAACAGGAGGAAGAAGTCATGGCTCATTCATTTGTTCTTGCATAGCCCCTGTTTCTTCTGAGTCATATTTAGCTTGGTGTGACACTATAATTAGGTGATGGTTTACTTTGGTTGCTTCGGGTCTCAATACTGTGGTTCTGGACACTAATGTTGTGGTTTCTACATTTCAGTGGGTGAATAATTTGTGTGTTCAAGTGGGGTAATGCTTATTATAATGCAGCTTGAACATATAACTTGAACATAATGGATGACGCTCTAGCATCTGCATATGACAGTTTGAACAGAGTGTGTATTGCCATACAAGTCTTGGTGATAACTGGTTAACATAATGCTATATCTTTTAGTTTAAAGAACATTCTTGTGCATCTGCATCTATTATTCATATGACTTCCACTGACACTTTTTGGGTTGTGTTACTTTTCAAGACAGCCTTAGCTGGTTCTAGTGTTTGTGGTTTGTGGCTGAGCTCATTAAACAAATGTATTTAAATTAACAGTTTGAAAATGAGGAAGTTATGAACTTCAACCTGGTAGTTGTGGTTCCATCTTTTCAGTATCTGCGGAGTACTTTTGCACGAGACAGGAGTGCATCATTCCCCCTCCCTCCTATTTGGATATATGGCGGGAGTATGAAGCCCATTTCTTCTAAATAATGTCTAGGAAGAAAATGCTTCTTTCCCAAATGGACCTGCATTAACAGCACAATGTATCCGCATTCAGCTGCTACAAATAAAGGGGCTATTTAACCGCCCAGGGCGTCAACTTTGTGTATTTAAGAATGTTTATTGCAGTGTGTTCAGGATGCGCACACATAACTTGTGAATCACGTTTTTATTTTTTCATCAAAAGGGGGTGGTCTTAATTGTAACTGACAGTTAATTATCTCAAAACAATGTGGAGCTTTATGAGTCGGAGCAATGTCATCTGAAAGTCATCATTCTGTCATGCTACATGTTTCTGCTGATATTGCAAATGATTGCATATTTTAACATGTCTTTTTCTTGGTTTGCAGCCCCCCCTAAGGAAGAGAAGCAGAGTGAGAAGGAACCAGCTCCTGCTCAAGCAAAAGCCCCTTCTCCTACTAAAGGGAACAAGAAGTCCACGGCGACTAAAGCAGCCAAGGTTTCCCCAAAGGGCAGGAAGCCTCAGACCACCACCCCGAAGGCGTCAAAGAAACCTGCGACACCGATGAGTAAAACTGCAGCAAAGTCCAAGAGACCCGGGCCGACACCCGTCCAAAACAAGTCTCGCTTTCCTCAGGGTCCGATCCACGTCACAGGAGCGCTGAGAGTCACCAAGTCCAACTTTACCATTCCTAAGAAGCAGCCCCCACAAAAGGAACCTCCATCCTCTTCGTCTTCCAGAGTCCCATCAATTCCACCCTCTTCAGCTCCCTCCAGCCACTCCTCATCCTCCAGACCTCCACATCCAGCTCCTTCTGCGCCCACTGTGTCCCCCGTGCGGCCCCCACCAAACAACCAGATGAGAACAAACATCCGCCGCTCGCTGACTGACATCATCTTTAAGAGGTAAGGAGTCCAAAGTTCGTAATACATCTAAAAATATTTCAGTAAAACTTCAGATTTGAACACCATCATTTGTTGTGTTCGGTACCACCAGGGTGAGCGACAGTGACGACCTGAATATGAATGAGCCTGAAGTGTCAAAGCTGTCGGTTGCCATTGAAAAGGAAATGTTCAACCTCTGCCTTAGCACTGACAGCAAGTACAAGAACAAATACAGGTCCCTCATGTTCAACCTGAAAGATCCCAAAAACAAAGTAAGTAAACTTTTTTCCATATTTTTTGTATGTTTAAAGAGTTGTGTATGTGCCTTCAGCCTGAAAAGCTTAAACAACTTATTTTTAACTGATGTTCATGATCATTGTGTTGTGTCTCAGGGCTTGTTCTACAGAGTGGTGGGTCGTGAGGTCAGTCCCTACAGGCTGGTGAGACTGAGCGCTGAAGAGCTGCTTTCCAAAGAGATATCTGAGTGGAAGAAGCCTGATACTGCTGAGGTAAATACTACTCTCCTTTTAAATGAAACATGACGTTTAAATTGAGGTAACTCTAAACACAAAATGTGCTGTTCTCCTGCAGGCCCACTCTCCCAGTGCAAGGGCCCATTCAGGGCACTCTAAACTGGGCAACAGGCATGACTCTCATAGCATGGATATGGATGACGCTCCACCAACATCTGATGGAGATGTATGTATCTCTGCCAACACTTCATCTTCTCGCATGGCCGCTGCTGCAGTAAGTGGTGGCATGCTGTCTTTCTCTCTTCAGCACTTTTTTTTCACTTTGGCATGGGTTGCTTAGTTACAAATACAAATCGTGGGTTAACTATCTTGCAAACTGTCCTGTTTTTCAATGCTGTTTCCTTCTTTCTGAAGCTTTGTTTTTACCGGGTGTTACACCTTATCTGTTTTAACACCCAGATATCACCCAAAGTACTGGGTGTTATTTGAAAAGCAATGATTTGTTTTTCAAGCTCACCTCAGAGTTTTCTGTGTCCACAGGACCAAGATGAGTCGATGCCCACTCCTCCAGCCTCGGCTCAGCCCTCTGCTGGGGAGGGGAACAGTGGCGGCAGCATGCCAGACATTTTCAGTACAATGCTCAAGGACACTACTTCTGAACACAGGACTCATCTGTTCGACCTCAACTGTCTGATATGCACAGGTAAATGACACACAGAAGTGTAAGGTCAATTTTGAAAAGTGGCCATTTTCCATCATTTTTTGAGCAACACTGATGTGATTTTATTCTACACGCTGCATGAGTTTTCAAATAATGAAAACATTTGGTTAGCACACTGAGATGTAGGAGGTTGGCAGCCTGTTGCCTGCAGCGTTCCCATTACTCCAGACAATATTTAAAGAAAGGGTGATACTGATGCTGTCATGTTTTGTTTACTCACAGTGGTAAGTGTCAGGCTCACTGAGAAACACTTGCATTGCACATACTGTAATTATTTAATAAAAGAAATAAGTTGGCAGCTTCACATTGAAACTCAGATTTCAATGTTAAACTGCAGCAGAAGAAAATGCTCATTATGCACAAGCCAATAACTTCATAGCATTTTTACTGTTGAAGTCGCCATACAGTTTGAATCACAGTATGGCATTTTTTTTATATAGAAATATTGCAAGACTTTCCTTGCTAAATCTTCATTACGTTCGGTCATTTGATGACTGACAGATAAACATTTATTTAAATCAAATTCTTCAACATTTTCTTTGCGAGATTTTTCACACAAGGAATCATTCTTATAATCTTACCCTCCAGGTCAGAGGTCAGAAGATGAGCCTGCAGCTAAGAAAGCCAAACTGACCAAGAAGCCTGACACTAAGCCTCTGAGACACGAGCCGCCCTCCTCCAGGTCGGGGGACGTGTCTCCTCCTGTCCAAGTTCCTCCATCCTACCAGCCGACTGTGGAGCCAGCTGTCCCAGAGCCACAGCCACAGCTGGACCTCAGTATGCTGGCTCCTCTGGCCCAGGCCCCCACACCCATCGCCCCCACCGTGTCCTCAGTCAGCATCACCCGCAGAGACCCCCGCATGGCCAGGCACAGCGCCGCGGTGACTGTCACCTACCCGGCTGCAGAGAGACTCCCCAACAGCTCAGCAGAAGCCCTCCCAGCTCCCCTCAGCGCTCCAGTGGAGGTCGCACCCAAAGCTCCGTTGCCGATGCCCCCGGCTCCCCCCCCTTCAGTGGCTGCCTCCAAACCAGGGAAAACAAGGTGCTTAATCTCATCACGCTTTTATAAATCAGCTCTTCAGAGACTTGCTCGCTTTAGTGGTTTATTTGTTTGCAACTGTGGTATTTTTTTACTCAAGGGCTTAAATTCAGGGTTCCAATAGTCATGGAAAACTTTTTAAAAAACCATGTAATTATAAGTTTTGCAATTATATGTTTGAAATATTTTGTGGCATGTAGGTTCCATATTTATATTGCCATATTGTTTTTCCAGAAAAAAAACCACATTTATAATTCATTAGTATAATGGTATAACTCGGTCTGTTTCCCCTTATTTTGTAATGCCAGTGACAGACTAATATAATAAAAAATAATGTTTGCAATGTGCCTCTTAAAGGTATTTTCAGTTAATATAAACATTACAATCTATTAGACATTGGACAAAAGTTTTCATCAATAACTAAAGTTTACTTTACACATCTGTTTGTGTACATATACGATATGAATGGTCATGGACATTTTATTATGAGTCATTATAAAAGTTATGGAGGTGTTTTTAAATTGTTGTCCCTTAAATTGCTTTAGAAATATGTGTGGTATTGGATTTCCCCTAAAACAGAGACATTTTGGTTTCACAGTTCATCCGAGCCCCCTCCTGAGGGCGAGACGGCGATCTTCCTCCACGGTCAAGAGAAGATCTGGAAAGGACTAATCAACATGCAGTCTGTGGCCAAGTTTGTGACCAAGGCTTATCTGGTGTCAGGATCCTTTGAATACCTGAAGGAGGTTAGCAATTTAGATTAGTCTTCCTTTGTAATCATTGTTTAATGCAAAACCTTTGGGCATATCAAAAGCAAGCAAAAGCATCATACTTAGTGTTATCTTTTTTGTGCAGGATTTGCCAGACACCATTCACATTGGAGGACGGATATCTCCAAGCACAGTGTGGGACTACGTTGGAAAACTGAAAACCTCACTCACAAAGGTTTGATGAAAACAATGATTGAGTATAAAAGTGCTCAATTTAAAGGCCTTGCATCCCTTACATACTTTGCTCTCTGTGTTTTCAGGAACTATGTTTGATCCGTTTCCACCCGGCCACAGAGGAGGAGGAAGTGGCATACGTCTCTCTCTTCTCCTACTTCAGCAGCAGGAAACGATTTGGTGTGGTGGCTAACAACAACCGACGTATCAAAGACCTCTATCTCATCCCTCTGAGCTCAAAGGACCCGTTACCCTCCAAACTCTTACCGTTTGATGGGCCAGGTAAGCGTTCACAGGGTCACACATATATACCACTAAATGTAACTGTGTTTATTTGAATGATTTTGTGTCATATTTGTTTTTTAACTGAGGGTTTGGTGATTTATTAGTTTGTCCTGTAGGGGGCACTAACTCTTTTGCTAAATCTGATCCAGAAAACACCTCATATAACAGCTGCTGTGTCCTCTGCTGTGTTTCTGATTTTGTATAACACATTTCTAATAAAGGAAGTTTGCATCGCAGGTTGATGCCATTTGAGTCCAGTCTCAGCCTGTTGTTTCTTATGACTTGGCTTCTACATAAACATAATTTAACTATTTGAATACATAAATCATTTAAAATGGTTGACAAGTTACATCATATCACACCGGTGATCACATGGTAACATGCTGCACCACTTAATTCCTAAATATTGGACTAGCTTCAGAAAAAACACGACTACACATCTTACTTTTTCCCGATGTTTCTTTAAACAGATTGAAGTAATGTTCTTTAATCAAATCTCCATAAGAACTGATGTATTCACCTGGTTGTAGATTTACCAGAATTATATTATAGTTTGCAATCTATTGCAGTCTTACTGGCAGTCATGTGTTTTTGCAATTTCCTGGTGCAGTCTTGTGCTGTCAGTGATTAACACTCATTTGATATGATTTAATGTGACTCTTGGTTATGTATTGCATAAGCAAGACCTCTACAAAGGCATCTCTTCAATAACCAACACAAGCCTACTGATAGCGCACGTTTCTCTGCAACCATTTCCACAATTGTCAGTTGAGATATAAAAGGATTCACTTAAGAGAGCAGAAACAACTCTGATAAAGCCTTATGGACTTACAATTCCTCATGTATGTATCAAAAGATCTTGTTGAAACTAATTTAACTTAAATGTCTTTATTGAGCAAGTCAGGAATACAAGATTATCATTCAGTTCTGTTAATCTACGGTTATCAACATAAAATGTTTACAAAGATCCTTGTTTTGTCTTTTCTTGCAGGGCTTGAACCTGCTCGTCCTAACCTCCTCTTGGGTCTACTGATCTGCCAAAAGGACAAAAAGCGAGCTGGTGGTCCGTTAGAAACTGAGGAAAAACGATCAAAGATTCAAAACAGAGATACTGATGACACTGGCCTTCCAAAAATATCTTCTTCAGTCAGAGGGGACAGAAGCTCGCGACAGAGTCTGGAAATCCCCTTCAGCACCACTCCTCCAGGGTCACCTCCTTCTAACTCTTCTGAGACCTCCAGCAGCACCACAGCCACCCCCTCTGTCTTTTCCCTTTTGTCCTCTTTCAAAGCTACATCCACTGTCACCGGCAAGGAGTCACCATCCTCATCCAGCTCTGTTGCTTCCTCTGCTGCTACGCCTCTTCAAACGATCCTCAACACTCTTTTTGGGAAGAAAAAGCACGACTCAGAAGCTTCCAACTCTCCGTCTGATAACAGTGGGGAACTCACCATCCCGTCCGCCTCGATGCTTGACCCCATTGTGCAGCAGTTTGCACAGAGTTCTAAAGAGAAACAGGTGGAGGAGGACGAAGATGACCGACCGTACGATCCAGAAGAAGAGTATGACCCCAGTATGGGCTACAATGTGCCTAAGAAGTCTGTGGAGATGGAAATCAAACCTAAAATCTCTAAGCAGCCTGAGGTGGTTGCAAATGAAGCTGATGATGTAGCTTACGATCCAGAGGATGAGTCAATTTTTGAAGATGTCAAACCTGTTGTACCAGTTCAAGTTAAGGTTGAGTCTCTTACTGATGCACAAAAGATCTTGGAGAGCCTTAAACAGATTGGGGATCAAGCATTCCAGAAACAGGGAGAACATCAAAAATCCTCTACGGTGACACCTGATATTTCATTGACACTTCCAGACACACTCTTAACCACACCTGTAACATCCCTTTTGGCCAATTCTCAGCTACTGCAGCTTGGCAAAAAGGTTGAGGAACTAATAAAGTCTACATCAGTTGCTCCCTTGATCAACCAAAGGAGAGATCCCCGACAGAGCAGGGATCCTCGCCAGGCTGCAGACGACAACAAACCGACTGAAGAACCTGAGGAGCAAGAAGAACCATCTGCTCCGGTGGTGGATTCTACAGCTGTTTCACAACCTGTGGTTCAAGAGGCTAATCTGGATAAAGTTACTGAACTCCCAGACTCCTCAGAAGCCCAAGAGACAACGCTGCCTCTTGAGGAAGTGAAAAGCGAGACGCTACCCTTCCTAACGTCAGACGAAATGGAGGTAGCAATTCCATTATTAGGAGAGGACGTGGAACCTGATATGGAAGTCAACTATATGGATGAGCCAGAAGTCAAAACTGTGGAAGCTGAGCCAATCAAGCCAGAAACGGAATTGGACAAGTACAGTATTTGGCCAAATGCTGCCAGTATCTTAAAAGCTAATGAAGAATCAGATTATGATGATAATAGCCAAGATGTGCCATCCAGAAGTTATTATAACGAGCATGCAAACACATCCCAAAGACCTTCCACAATCCCAGTACTCACTCAGAGCACAAAAATGGTCGACACTCCGCACTCGCTTGAGCACCATCACATGCCGCATCACAGGTCAGGCTTCGATAGAGAGTACAGACCTCCAGCTGACATTCCCCCCCCATCAAACTTCCCCCCGCACCATCCGATGCAGGGACAAAATATGGTTTTAAGGCCTCCTCCGATGTCTATACCACCACACATGCAGGGCCACCCTCCAGTGTCAGGCCACCCTCCAGTGTCAGGCCACCCTCCTATGCAGAGACCCCCTCCACCCATGCATGTTCATCCCCCTGTCCGTGGTCCTCCCCCTATGCAGGGTGATAACAGCCAACAATATGGTCCACCTCCAACCGCATACCCTCCTTATCAGAACCAGTGGCAAGGCTCCCAACCACCGCCGCAGCAGCTTCCTTCTGTACCACCTCCCCATAATATCATGCCCCTCCGAGGACCACCACCACAATTTCCTCCAATGGCCCAGAGAGGCCCTGCTCCCCAAATGTTTAATCCCTCCATTCCCCCCCAGCACATTGTACAGCAAGGTCTCCCTCCAGGCCTGCCCCCACCTCCTACTTTTGATGGACAGAATCTTCCACCAAGATTTGGGGGTCCACCACCATTTAACTTCCCTGCAAACAGAGGTCCTCCTCCACCTTTCGCTGGGCCACCCCATAGTCACTTTGAAAACAGACTCCCTCCTCCGTCCCACTTTCAAGGGCCCAGGGGTCCCCCGCCACCTCAGTATGGTGACCAACGGGCTCAACCCGCAATGGGGGACCAACCTCGAGGCCCTGCAGAACATTATAACAGAGAAAACCCTAACTCTTTCAAACCAAACGTGGAGCAGAATCCAAACCCTCTACATATTTATAAAGACAGTCAGGGTCCCCCGCCAGGTCCAGCCTACCGGGGTCCGCCACATAATCAGTATGAGGACAGAAGAGGTCCACCTTCCATTGGCGAGGTAAGCGGACAGCACTTAAATCCTCATAACCAGTACGAGAGCTCCAGACCCCTCTCTTCACCTCCACGTCGAGGATCTTTTGATGAGCACCGGGGGCCCCCCTCTCAGGAGAATAGACCCCATCCCTCTGAGCGTTTTGGAGGATCCGAGCGATACCGCTTGGACAGGCACTCTGATGAACCTAGACCTATCCGTCACTCTGGGCCTCTACTGCCAACTCCTCCAGAGGCTCCCATTGGTCCTCCGAGTCGCATGGGAGCTCACAGTCCAGACTTGCACCGGGACGACCCCTGGAGGCGCCACTCTCCTGAAATGAGGAGGAAGAGCGGCTCCACCCGAGAGGACTCAGAACCTCGCATCGGAGAGCGCTTCAGTCGCTTCGAAGGAGGGCACAGAGAATCTGCTCCTGGTCCCTTACAACCCTCTGAAGAGAGACAGAGGGAGCTGTCCGAGGACCGCCGGAGGGAAAGAGAACGGGATGTCCCACACCCAGGCAGGCCCTTATGGGACAGGGGCCAGGACAGGCGGTGGAGCAGAGAGCCGGAGTGGGATAGAGCCAGAGAAAGGGACCATGATCCAGAGCGTAACCGGGAAAGAGAACGCGATCCCGAGCATCCCCGAGAAAGAGAACGCGATCCGGAGCATCCCCGGGAAAGAGAACGCGATCCGGAGCATCCCCGGGAAAGAGAACGCGATCCGGAGCATCCCCGGGAAAGAGAACGCGATCCCGAGCATCCCCGGGAAAGAGAACGCGATCCCGAGCATCCCCGGGAAAGAGAACGCGATCCCGAGCATCCCCGGGAAAGAGAACGCGATCCCGAGCATCCCCGGGAAAGAGAACGCGATCCCGAGCATCCCCGGGAAAGAGAACGCGATCCCGAGCGTATCCGAGAAAGAGAACGCGATCCCGAGCGTATCCGAGAAAGAGAACGCGATCCGGATCGTACCAGAGAACGGGATCCGGATCGTACCAGAGAAAGGGAACGTGATCCTGATCGTACCAGGGAAAGAGAACGGGATCCGGAGCGCACCCGGGAAAGAGAGCGTGATCCGGAGCGCACCCGAGAAAGAGATGTTGATCCGGAGCGCAGCCGAGAACGTGATCCTGAGCGCAACAGAGAAAGGGATCACGATACGGAGCGTCCTCGAGAAAGAGAACGGGATCCGGAGCGTACCAGAGAAAGAGAAAGGGACCCGGAGCGTCCCCGAGAAAGAGATCATGATCTGGAGCGCAGCCGTGAAAAAGAACGGGATCCGGAGCGTACTCGGGAAAGAGAGCGCAGCAGAGGGAAGGAGGGCGAGAAGGCCAAGGAGACGGAGGTGGAGCGACACAGGGATCAAGACACAGACAAGAGAAGAGACCGGGAAAGAGACAGAGCCAGGGATTCTGACAGGAGGGACCACGACCGCGATAGAGGGAGAAACCGCGATCGAGAACGAGAGCGCGAGCGTGATCGAGAGCGGGACAAAAAACGGGATAGATCCCGTAGCAAGGAAAGAGACCGGGACAGAGACCGTGGGAAAGACCGAGTCAGAGAGAAGGAGAGAGACAGAGAGAGGGACAAAGACAGGGATCGTCGGGACAGGAGCAGAAGCCGAGATAAAAGAGAGGAAAAAAAGGACAGTAAACACGATACACCTAAGGAGAAGGACAAAACTGCAGAAAATGACAAGAACGTGTCCTAGTCAGTTTTAAGGACACTACACAACGTTTTTGAAAGAGAGTTCAATCTTTCACCGGTTGAAAAAGAGTTGTATCACTGTAAATGTATATGAGCAGTATTTCGTAAAATGTCCACAGTTGTATTCATACTAGAAAGTTTGACAATGTTTGTATTATTTTTGTCACTTAAAGGTTTCTAACTTGTTTTACCACATTTGAAAAACAAAAAACTGAAGGCTATTTTTGTTGCTTGTGTTCAAGATGTTTAACGTGGGCAACAGAGTCCTATTACACGTACCTTTCTCCTGTCCAAGCAGTTCTTTTTTTTATTAAGAAAACAATAATGTAACACACCATTTGCAATATGTAAATATGAATGTATTTGTGTATATACTGATGTTTTTAATCATACTTTTCTAAGTAGTGAAAAATTAAAGCCATATATCTGAGATGGATAATGTGAAAGTAAAGGAAACACTGTTTACAGGCAAATGTGTGTTTAATGTCTAGCACCAATGAAGCGAAAGGCTCCAACTATCTACAATATTCATCCCATCAATGGTTGTAAATAATGTCCTGATTTTGTTTCAGCTCAACCAATTAAACCTGTTTGATGACATCTTCCTCTGCTGTTGTCAATACAAAGTTAAACAAAAACGGTTTTAAGTCAAGTCATGTGAATTTGCTTAGTTTTAATGTTTAGGTTTTTGGTATATTAGTTACTCTGTGCAGTAAAGTGTGAAGGCTAGGTAGGCCATTGCCAATAAATGTGATTTAGCAACACCTCCAAAAGAATTTACTTAATTGTTTTAAAGTTTTATATCCACATTTATCCAAGCGCTGGCAGAATCTCACCACAAGCTAAAGTCTCAAGGAAACGGGAGTACAGTCTTTTATAAAACCTTAGATATTTGTGGCCTTACATCGTTCAGAATGAGGAGAAACCCAGGCAGGGGAAGATGTGATGGGAATATCTGTAGGATACATTTATTTGTAATTTACATGAACCAAAACTAAGGAAAGAAACACTCCATTGGGTCCCTTAAATGCTTTAATATACTTCACCAACGTAACGTAATATATCCTTTTCTTTAAGAACACCAGTGTTTGACTTTGTTTGCCATAATCTGTGAAGCTAAACGCGTGTGTGTGTAATGCTAGTTTAATAATATGAAATAAATGCAAGGAAGAACTACGGTAAATAAGTGAATACAATGTATTAGAAATTACAATAGAGTTCAGGTTATAAGTTGGATAAACATTTCAGGTTTAGTGACAAAATATTTTCACTACTTCTGAATCATAGGCACTTAAGATTCAATTGCACTTGCTGATTTAAACAGTTTCACCCAGTTTTAAAACGGCTTTCTTTATAAAAACCCGTATAAGAATAACATTTAATGAAACAAAAATAGTAATAGTATCATGGCTAAATATTTTACATTCTGATCTTAAGCTTGCTTTTAGTACGCAGTGTGTTTACAGTATACTCAAAACAAACTGCATACTAATTCTTAATATTTCCTTAAATGCATTCCTGAATGTGTGATGATATGTTTATTACATTCAGTTCTCCGCATTAGTATGTAGTCGCATACTATAGAGTATTGTAAACCTAAGTATGTAGATTGAATTTGGGGAACATTGACAGAAAATACTTTTAAGAGCTTAATTTTCTTTGGTTTCCTATTCGTTCACCATACTCAAGGGATGGATGTGAAGATCATAAGTATGTTTTTTGCCGAGACACTGACTCCCGTGACCACATCATTTGAATTTTCTTTGGGCACCACACAAACTCGTCTTTACGGTCATAGTTCAAATAGGCGAACTTGATGAGATTCCTACGTTGTCTCTTATCGAGGACCGCAAACACAAAGTAGCTGAGAACACTATCCTTGATTTGTGGCAGCTCTCTGTTGACGAGGGTCTCCTTCAGGAAGAAGTGCACCAGGGGGGCTTGGTAGTGAGGGTACCCCAGGGTTCCCAGGCACTTCAGGATGCGGGTGATGCGCAGGTTGTTGTGAGTGTGACTGTCAATGACAAAAAGTTGTTATATATATTATTTGTATTGCTTTCAGTGTACAATTTTTTAGATAAAGCATGAAGAGATCACCTGTTAAGGTTGTTGAATCTTGCTTTCCAGTTCAGCGCTCTCGTCAATTCTCCTGTTTGCTCATTAAGCAACTCGATACCATAGAAGTCCAACATGAGCTTATAGGACTCCAACAGATTCTCCAATGCCAGGCTGCTTTGACAAATGTCCTGAAGGGAAAGTAGAGTTTACAATCTGGACATTTATTTTAAGATATGAATTCGGTAGCTTTTAGCAGTTTACCTTGATTTCGTCTTTCGTCAGTGTTCTTGCCTGATAGTTCACCCCTGGTTCCTGCAGTGGGAACAACCTTTAAGAGAACAAATGAGTAAAATGTTTCAACAGGAAGTAAAAGGTTAGGGTTATAACATTTTCAATGATGTGATAATAGAGTATCTTACCATTGAATGTAGGAGTGTTCACTCTCCAGTCTATTATAATCTCTATACCATTCATTGTGGAAATCCTTTATGAAAGCATCTGATAACAAATACAATAGATAAAATAAGTAAATACTAAGTTGATGTTAGGATAGTTATACACATATTAGACACATATAAGTCAAACGTGATTGTAAGTGTAGGCCTACCGTCAGGTACAGAACGCATCAGCCCGAGGTGAAACTTCAGATTAGGCTGGTCATCCTATTCAACAGAGGACGATTGAGAGATTATACAAATTCTGTACACACATAATTAAATTCCTCTATAAATCAAACAGTTATCATGTGTGTACTTACCGACTCATTCCAGCGTGACATCTTGCTCAGAGACTGGGGAAATATAAAAGAACAATATGTGCTTGGTTAACGCTGAAACAAGGTAAAGTGTATATTATGTTTGTAGTGTGTGAGTGTGTGTACGAGTACGCAACTTACAGGGTAGTCATGCCTGTAGTTCTGCATGTCTTTTGCGGCATTCTCAAACCTGCTGAACTTGTACTGGTGCACATAAAAGAAAAGAAAGTCAGTTGAATCTCAAGACATTGTGAAATTGTTGCAAATGTACATTGGTCTAAAGTAATTTAGTAGATTTACTCAAGTACAATTTTGAGAGACGTGTACTTTACTTGAGTATTTCATGTTTTTATACTTTGTACTTCTACTCCACTAAAATTCAGAGGTAAATATAGTACAATTACTCCACAAATTGTTTTAGGGCCTTTAAATTACTATTGCAGATTTGGATTAATGATGTGAAATATAATCAACACTTAAATAAGACTTTAGTAACACCTGGAGTTTATTAACAAGCTACCCTGCAGTATACAAAGTCATATAAAACTAGCTGCACCTTTACTAGCTTTGATTACACATGAATGCATCAATAATTATAATCAAAACATTATATATAACTCTGAAATGGGCCGATCTGCTCGGTGAGTACTTTTACTTTTGGTACTTTCAGTATATTTAGATGCTGATACTTTTTTACTTTTACTTGGGTGACATTTTGATAGCAGGACTTTAACTTGTAAAAGAGTATTCCTACACTCTGGTACTTCTACTTTTACTTAAGTACAACATATCCCTGTGACAATTAGAGGTTAAAATAAGGTTATGTTTGGATCACTAAAGACACAAAGTGTAAATCTAAACATAGAAAATGAATCCAATGCCCTCACAGTACAGTTCGCCCCCCTCCCCTCACAGTGCAGCGGGCCTCTGGACTCACATGCCCGGCTGCAGGTCGCCTTGTCCCGCTGCATCTCGGCTCCTGGTCCTCTGTCTCCCAGGTGGAGTCATAGCCACAGTAAAACTCATCTGAGGAATCAACGCGAAACTCTCCACCATCTTCCTCAGACTCATCTTCATCTTCGGTTAACTGCGCAACAACTTCTTCAGACTCCGGGACGCTTCGGTCAAACCCCTGCCGCTCCTTGGGGGTCAGATCTCGGTTGTAGTCGGCGGCCCTCTTCGGTGGACCATTACCGCGGGACTGCTCCACATCTTTGGGGGAACTACTCGCTGGAAAGTTGACTTCGGAGTTTGTTTCAGGCTCTAACGGGCTTCCGCAATTAGATCGCCAGTTTATCGGTATCAATGCGTTGACTATTATCCTACAAAGTCTTCTCATACAGCGCCAGATGATACCAGGAGAGCGTAAAAAACACTCAAACACAGAATAACCTCCGTTGTCGTTGAAGGAGGCCATAATCCCCTCCACAAGTCGACACAACAGCACTGGCAGGGGCCTCATGTCTCCTTATGACATGACATGTAAGTCTGTTTCGCTTTCACTTTCTCCCAACTTCTACTGTCACCAACACACACCAACTCCACCTCCCGGCTCAGGCTGCTATCAGGGTTAAATGGCTCAAGTAAAATGAACAAATACGTATTGCTGAGAAAGCTGATCTGGAAAATATCATTTGAATGTAGGGGAGACTGGACAGTTGCAACAAATCTTATTCCTCCAATCAGAAACATGCTGGAGTGATGACACTCACTGTAGTTGATAACATAAGACTGACATGTATTTATATCACCATAGGGAATAAGAGTAAGAATAAGAATAAGAGAGAAACACTTTAGTACACATGAGAATACACACAGGGATATTTAGAATAAAAAAGAAAAAAAGAATTAACATGTTTTATCAGTATGATTGGAAATAACAAAAATAACAGAAGTTAAACTCTGATTAGGTGAATGTACTGTCCATCCATATACAGTATGTGAACAAGGTTAAATATACATTTAAATGTGCAGGCTTTTGAACATGCAAAATCACATCACCCATCACCCCAGCCACAAACTGTTCTTTCTGTTGCCGTCTGGCAGACGTTACCGCAGCATTCTGAGACAAGAAGATTCGGAGACAGTTGCTTCCCGCGGGCAGTGAGACTGTTAAACAATTGAACTGCTGAAACAACTTCAAAACATTCATCTGCTACTCAGTAATATGTATCTAATATCTAATATATATCATTCCAATAACTTGTATATAGACTCGTACTGCACTATTCCACATGCTCACTTTATTTTATAACTATTTTTCTTTTTGTATTGCTCTTGCTATCTGTATTGTTATTATGTTGCATTGTTGGAGAAGCCTGTGACATAAGATTTTCAACAACATAATTACTCTGTAACTATGTCAGTTTGACAATAAAGAACCTTGAACCTTGAAAAGTGATTGTGAGGTAAATAATGAGAATAATTCCCCCACATCAAATACAGCTTTATTTGTAATGCACTTTAAAACCTCCAGAATATAAAAATCTGACTCGGCTCACAAACCATAAAATAAGTAAAAATACAAATAAAAAGCTAAAAACTTAAAATAAACAAGAAAGAATAAATAACACCAGCGATGTACTTACAGCAATAGACCATTTAAAACAATGAAAACAACCATCTACAAAGTGTTGAACGCTAAGGAAAAGATTTAAGAAGCGATATAAAAACAGACAGTGTAGAGGCCTATCTAATGTTTGATTATTAACACATTTTCTAATGCTCTCTTTTACATTTGTTACAATGATGTGAGTTTTTGAAATGTAGTGATTATTATTTAAAAACATATCCTTTCAATTTGGGCTAATATTTAGGTGGAAGTGTCCGGTTAAATATCTAACATCCACCCAACAATAGTAAAATAAATAACCTACCCCATATGCCAAGATTTTTTTGGTTAATGACACTCAATCTTAATTATTTGACTTTGATTTGGTTCTTCTAGAGTAAGAATTACCCTGGTGCCAAAACAGCTACAATTTACGGTCATTTGAGAAAACAGAATACAACACTGCATCCTCACACCAGGTGCCTGAACCAGAATGAGACACCTGGTGTGAGGGTGACGGAGAAGTGCCTCCACCTTTGGAAATAAATGAAAGACACAGTCCGTGCCCTTTTGGCTAATAAGGCTCAATGCACTGTTCCCATTAGCTGCAAAGTTCAAACCTGTATTCATCTGAGACACTGTCGACTCATCACCAGAGAAGACACCCGCCTGCAGGTTCATATAAAGCCTTTTCTAGCTTTGAAAAGATGATGCATTTTTGTTTTTATGACCAAAATAGACTTTGTCTCCGTAATATATGATGATCATAACGATTCTGGCGCCACCCGCTGTTATCAATATACAGATAGCATCATGTTTGCAGTGTATTTTCCAGCCTCATTTTATACGGGGCTGGCACTTGGACAGATGAGTGTTTTGGCTCAGTCAGTGCACATCCTGCTCTTAATGTCTTCCTGTGGAAGATAAAGGGATGCATGAAATATCCTGTAGAGCACAGAGATATGAGATGAGTACATCCGATAACACTGCATCATTACTTCTGGAGAGTTGTTAAACCACAGGATCCTTTTTATTTATTACTTAAGTCACTTGTCTTATACTGCTTAATTGATGTTTCTATTTCTTCTCTGGGTGATTTGTCTCATACATAACAATGTGAAATCTACAATAAGAAGTGATGTTGAATAATACTGAAGTAAGCACTGTGTGTGCTCATTAAGTGGACTCTGGCGATGCTATTATCTCTGAGGGACCCCTTTCAAAGGGAGATAATTGCTCTTACCGCCCATGGAGAAAATCAAGACTTGTCTGCATGCTACACTGTTAACATCTGCTTGGCAATAGATTCATTTGTGCTGGGATACGGTCATGTGCTGTCTGCGGAAGATAAAAACACAGTGTAGAGATTGCCATATGCTCTGTATGGAATAGAGGCAATAAATGTGGATTTAAATGACAGATCTCAGGCTCTTTATGGCCTGGTTTAGTGCATGAATGGCTCACACAAATTCAAATGTCCTCCTGAAATAGATGGAAACTTCATGCAGGATATGGAACTGAAATCACTTGCAGCATTCAGTCTATTTTCTTGTTGTTCTGCTGTGAACCCAATTAGCATGACCCTGAGCAAAAACCCAGCAGATGCCTTTGAGAACCTGAGCGAGGCTTCATGAACATGCAGGCCTGTGTGTAGCTGCACTGATACACACACACACATGGATCATCTCCACTGTGTGTGTGTTGAACTTAGTTAATGACAAAGGCTTGCTGGATCACTCAGGGACTAGTGTGCTCGATAAAGGTCAACGCTGCCCCCAGCTAATGCTTCATCGGTCAGAGTAACACTTTAGCCGAGCGTATTGTGAATACTCCGCACATGAACGCTTCACAGGGCAAAATAATCAGTGGAGTAGAGTCTGGAAAGCACAGTTCTGATGTGCTTTTCTGTGGCAGAAACAACACACTCTGACACATGTGTATCCCAAACCTCTCCAAATACAGGATCAGGGATTAACAGCCAGGAGTCAGTCTGGGAAAGTCAGCAGCACAAAAACTTTTTTTAAAGGCTTTTTTTTTTAAATATAGAGGGACAGAAAACGAAAACTGAGAACTTATGCATTTTTATACGGCTATGGCTGCCTTGTAAATGTAAAGGCTGCAGTTTAAAGTGGTGTGTGATTTGCATATCGGACTATTGTCAGACAACAAATGTTTATTAAAAGCAGCTTATAGTTTGTGTTCGGCATCTAGGCTCCGGCCTTATCACTCCCTGAAAATGATTTTTACAAAGAGTATTGATAAGTGATGATTTAATAACTATGCCCCGGAGCCTGCAGGTGGATGCTTGCGTGGTGGTGGGGCAGAGAAGCAGCAAGGCAGCAGCATTAGCGAGGTAGAGGGAGAGATAGCAGTTTAAATAGAGTGTCATATTACAGAGAGTGAGTTTGGTTGGTTGGGGGTAAGGCAAATCACGTGTACGTGTATAAATGGTGCTCGAGTTGACTGCCTGAACATAGGATTCGCTCCAATTGTGTCTCAAAAGTGCCTCTGTAGGATAATTATGGTAAAGCAAATTAGTGTCTCAGTTTAGTAAACTGCTATTAAATGCACTTTAAACACTTGTACAGTATGTGCATTTTGACTGTAGTGTTGTCTCAAATCTCACACAGCTGCTAGCATACTAGCAAGATCACTTGCATGGTGGTGTATTTATATTAAATCTATAAAAAAAATGTAAAAAGAAATTAAGGAGGGTCACTTACATATCCAAGATGGCGGTCGTTAAGTGTGAGACGTTTCCAGTGTTCACACAACTATTTGAAAGCCAGGAGTGAAAGCTGATAGTGGACTGCATTTTGCCATAGCCTACTTTGCATTGATTCGACCATGTTAGCACTTATGTACTCAAGATAGCACATAGAGACATATGCAAAGTAAGACATGGCATAGGTCATGTGATGTGAGCACCTTTAGTAACATCCTATAGGAAGGCAAGGTGCTGCAGCTGCTGAGCTCAGGTGCTTGTGCATAAGCTTTTCACCTTTGATAGGCTAATATAACACAACTTCAACACACACATAGCTTTCTTTGACCCCAGCTGGCCAAAGGTGCCTGAACTCATCACTATCTATGGATGGAGTTGATGGAGGGAGCTCCTGCGTGTTGCTCTGAGCACCCTCCCTCCCTCGGGCCGCTCCGCGCGCACTCCGGAGTTGAGGATGAAGCCGCAGAACATCAGGACCCTCTCTCTCATCCTCTCCATAGTTTTCTACCTGCTGCTGGGAGCCGCCGTGTTTGACGCGCTGGAGTCGCAAAGCGAGGTTTTTCGGAAGAAGGCGCTGGAGCAGAAGCTGAACGATCTGAAGAGGAAGTACGGCTTCACGGCGGAGGACTACCGAGACATCGAGAGGGTGGTGCTGCAGTCCGAGCCGCACCGCGCCGGGAGGCAGTGGAAGTTCGCAGGGTCTTTTTATTTTGCCATCACTGTCATCACCACAATTGGCAAGTATGGTTTCTCGATACTTTATCTGACTTCTCTGTGTTTCCGCATGTTTGTATGTGTTTAGAGGTGGAATAAGTACTTATTATCTTAAATAAAAGTAACAGTGGGTCTACAGCAGTGTAAACAAATATGTGAGTCAAAGTCCTGCAAAGTAGACCTATGTAGCCTATTACAAGCAAATTATCAGCAAGTTGTAAAACTATGTCAAATGGCCCCTTTCAGAGCGTTACATTTATCTTGAGGGACCTGAAATATTATAATGCAATTATCCTGTTTTTTCTAACAAGATAATGATTTGTACATCATATTCATCTCAAGCAATTTATTTTCCAGACTTCAGATGCTCTTTTAGTTTTGTTGAGGTAAAATGTACAGCCTTATCATTTAATACATGAAGACTTCAAAATAATAATATGTGTTGCAGTTTAAGTAGAAACTATGGCAGTTAAATGTATGTAGTTTAGTGAAAAGTTCACAATTTCCCTCATAAATGTACTAGAGTAGAGTATAAACTAGCATAAATTGGATATACTTAAGTAAATATACCTTAAAGTTGCAGTGGTGCTGTGGTTGAACAAAACTGTCCAAACATGAGCTAAAAACCTCTATATAGAGTGGGCAGAATTTGGGTGTTATTCATAGTAATTTTATCACAATGTGCAGTTACACATCATACAGAGGCATGTGATAA